ACGAGGCTGTAAAGCACTTGAGTGCCGAGATGTGTGGAGGAAGGCTTTTATGAACCGGAAGGTGATCTCGCGTCATGAACCGCAGCATCAAATACCCCAGATTCGCTCCAGATGCTGTGCGGTACGAATCACTCTGATGCTTTCTTGGCACCACTCAAGCATCTCCGATCACCCAACTCCGGTCCAACCCATCCGCAGTATCGTGTCCGATAACGTTCTACTTCACCCATAGGGCCTCGAGTACCGGGGGGCACAGATGGACCGCTGTCATGTGGACGACCGATATCTCGTCTCAAACGACGCCACCAAACAACCGGTCACTTTACAGAATGATTCTATTAGCATTCTCGTTCATTGCAAAAAGCGAACTTGCCTGAAGTTTACGCGGCGGAGGCTTCCGCATACTGTAACTGAAGTGGGTGCCGAACAACTTACATGAGCATCTAGTCAATGGAACATATACCTGTGCTAGATTGAGGTAGTGACTTCATACTCTTATGTGGTACAACTGCAGACAATCTCTAGGTTAATAAGCAGCAACTTGGAAGAACTCTTTTCAAGACCAGTCTATGTTTGCGGGATCAATAAGCTATCCAAGCATGTCGGTCATCGCCCGCTTGGCCCAGTGGTAAGGCGTCTCACTCGTATGCGTGCGATGAGAAGATCAGTCGTTCGAGTCGGCTAGTGGGCATCTGTTTTGCTCTCCAATTGTTCGCGATTTTGGCATCATTATTCGTTGTGCCAAAAACACGGCAGGTACACGATGTCCATGGGCTGCCTCGCGAGCCCAGCAATTGTCCGTAGTGATCTTTTCAAGTAATACATCCTGAGCATAACTTTGCGGAATAATCATAGCCAGCAGTAAGGTCAATCAAGGTGGTGGTCTGACTACCGCGAGCTCGTCCCGATTAGAATACTTGCTACTCCTGTGAATCCATAAACCATCGCCCCCAGGCTCCGAAGCTGCAGACACACCTATGCCAGACCTTCAAGCTCTTGACGATCTTCGAGAAAACCGACAAGCTCAGCTTCCTCGCTCGCTTGGCTACCCGGCCACCATCGACGCGCGAACGCGCGTTGTGCGACTCCTCCACACTTCTCGGGTCACCAGAGGACCCAGAGCGTTCCGAGGGCAGCTGCAGGACGACGGGCCGGGCGGCGGATTCCTCCGAGCCCTCGCCCGAGTCTGAGGGGATCAGCGGCCGGGGTTTCGCGATCGAGGCTGTGACCAGGCGATGGACGAGGCCTGGGGGGCGAGGTGAACGCGGGGACGGTGGTTGTCGGTCAGGTCGGTTTTGAGACCGGTTGGGCCTGGGAAGCTGTTGGTGCTGTTGGTGCTGCTGCTGCTGCTGGCCATGGGTCATCAGACTCAAACCCAGCGCACGTCTGACGCCGGGAGTGGCGACTCGTAATTCCTCAGGTGTGGCGAACAGCGCGGGCAGGAATAGCACCTCGTGCCGGATGGTCCCCAGCGACGGCCGGCGGGTCGGCTCGAGTCGGAAGCAGCGCGCAGCAAGGGTGTTGAGCGGGCGCGAGATCGGCAGGATGGTGGGCAGGTACGAGTCTGGATTGGCGCGAAACTGCATCCACCGCGCATCTCCGATCTGCGCGCCGTGCCAAGGGTTCATCCCCGTCACAAGGTTCAAGAGTAGCGTGGAGAGCGCCCAGGCGTCGCTGTCCCGCGGCCTGTAGCCGTACGTACTCGCACCGCTGAAGGATTCTGATGGGCGGGTGATTCATATGATCGCTCAAACTGGGTATACAACGACGCACCAGGACACATGTACGAGTGGCTCCCACAATCAAAGTCCCGCGATAGGCGCGACCGGGTGCACAGCCCAAAGTCCGCAATCCGCGGATTCCCCCCTGCGCGGTCCACAAGAACGTTCTCGGGCTTGAGGTCCCGGTGGTATACGCCCTGTGCGTGGCACCAGCGCACGCCGTCGACGAGCGCGGCGAAGACCCGCCGCACGAGCCCGTCCTGCTGCTTGTAGCGCCCCTGCAGGATTGCGTGGTACATGTCCCCGCCCGGGGCGTAGTCGTACACCATGAAGACATGGTGCGGCGTCGTGAAGGTGTGGTGGAAAGAGATCACGTTGGCATGCGAGGAGACGAGGCGGTGGAACGTGCGCTCGCGCTCCTGGAAGTGGGCGTCGCGGCTTTCGGGGCGGGGGACGCGGAGGCATTTCACAGCATAGAAGGCGTTGTGGTTGTCGTCGTCAGTGTCGTTGTTGGTGTCATGGTCGTAAGGAGCTGGCGTGGTTCTGGAGCTTATCTTCCTGGCCTTGTAGATCTTGCCGTAGGCCCCGGTCCCCACTACGCGTAGGAGCTCCAGCTGGCCACAGTCGACGACTGCGCCAGTCATATCGGGCAGGCGCTGCGATGGAGGCATGGAGAGAGGAGTGGGAGTGGGAGCCAAGAGGAAGAGCAACGACGGCAGGAAGAATACTCCAGAAGAGCGTAGGGGCCGATTTGAGACCTAGCTTCCGTGGCTTAGTCTCAGTCTCGCATTTCTTCCGCGCTCTTCCGCCTCTCCAATGACAGTGAGACATCGTGCTTCTTGCACAAGTCAGGGAATCGAGAAAGCGTTCGTCGACTACGAGAAGCACCGCATGTTTACAAGTACAAGTAGCGGAAGAGAGTTGGAAGGAAGGTTGTCGGACTGGGAAGGAGTGGGCCCAAGTCACGGTGTTACGTCACATTCCAAGATAGACCGCGGAGCCAGGCCAACAGTCTTGGAACTACATATGTAATCAGACATAGGGTATGTTCTGTATCCAATGCTCGACGATGCGCTTGGAAAGGGCAGGTTGGTCCTTGGGGACCTTGGCGAAATGAGTCACGAGTACTCACGCCCACAAACAGCACACTCACTGAATGACCGGCCTCCTCAACTAGGATATATGTAAAGCTACCCGCACCCGGACCGATGACCCGCACGGTGGCCCCTTCAGCAGTAGGCCAGGGCACGTCCGGGGCATCCCGAAAGTCTGCTTGGTAGGGTGATTGGATCTCTTTAAGCTGCGCGTCTTGAGTATCATTGAAGGATGGACCAAGAACCCGCACGCACGAAAGACAGGACACCCGGCCATGCACAGTTTGCGTCTTGTTTACCTACGAAGTCTGCGACAGAGATGAGCACACTGTGTCGGTCGATAGTGCCGCGGACCTACGCAGCAACCGGATCCCAGCCTCGAGCAACGGTGTGTACAGCAGATGCGCTTCCTGCAGACTGCGGATATTGTCAATTACCGACAGCAGATCCAGTCTCAGCGGTACTGACACATCACCAGAGAGCCCAAACGCTTGCGGCACATCCTGAGCGAGAGCGATAAACTCGAGCGACGCCGGCACGTCGAGTTCCTCCCGGACGTGCGCCTCGTTAAAGAACGCGGAGAGCCACGGGAACGTGGGCCCCAGACACGGCCGCTGCGTCGGATCCTCGCACTGAGGAATCAAGTAAGAGGACAACCGAGTGGCTTGCAAACCACCCACCATTCGTCGCACATCCTCAAGGAGCACACCGTGCGTGTCCGCCTGGTCCAGGTCTCCACATATATCGCTCGCCGCAACGCGTCGATCGATATCCCAGTGCGGCACCTGATAGGCGTAGTCGATCGCGTCCAGGCATCGAGGCAAGACATTGGTGTACAGCTCATCACAGGTTGTTGTGTTGTACATGTGTTTCACGTGGTGGCAGCGGTAATGCAGCAACCACGTAAAGTGCGATCGCGCGCTCTGAAGCGTCTCCGTGTGAGCATAGGCATAAGCAGGAGTGACAATCCAACACACCGTGAAGGGGTTGACGAGCATCATCGATTCGAGATTGATGTGGACTGCGCCTGGCTGGCCTTTCCGTTGCGCGACGAGGAGGTTCTGCTCGTGGATCACAGTCGCGATGTGCGGCACGTACGTGCCACCGTACGAGCCTCCAGAAACGACCAAGGGGTTTCTTCATACAGTGAGGAGGAGCTCAAGTGCAGGAACGAGACGTACTTGGCGAGCTGCGGATACAGCCGGAAGAACTTTTGCAGAAAGTCGTACACATCGAATGCCGCCTTCCGGCTGTTGTCCACATGCGTCCCGTATGAGAATCCGGCACCGATGGGGTGGTCGAGGGCGAGCAGGTTCATGTGTTCTGCAGGCCTGAGCAAAACGAGCTATCGCCGATCTTATTGCTCACCGGTCCAGCGATTCGGGTTCGGAACCGTCCCGTTTGCAGTGATCAGACACGGACCCGATGCAACCATGGGATTGAGTAGACCGGTCACCCCAGGTCCGCCGCCGACGGTGAGGCTGCGCCGCGTGAATCAGCCAACGTAAAAAGATATGGGGGAGAGAGCGCACATGATAGGCGCGGAAGCCGCATCGTTCTCAGCCTCGAAATACCTGCGCAGCGGGGTCAGTCGTCATTCCCTTACCGCAATCACACGCTAAGACGACACACCAGAAGAACGAGCGCTTCGGATCAGCGTCAGAGTCGCCCGCCAGCCCGATATGCCCCGCGTGCGACACGGAGGGACCGTTCACTCCCGCGCACAGACCGCGCGGCTGCGCGATGTGGGAGAAGAACGGCGGAGGGCCGCCGCGGGAGAGGTGCAGCCACGCGACGAAGACGCCACCGCAGACTAGAAGCCCTGCGCACGCGAGCAGCAGGAGGCGGGTCAGGTGTCTTGTGGACTCCCGCTTGGAAGCGGGGTGGGTGCTGGGCAGGAGCGGGGTGGTCGAGTCGGGTTCTGCCTCAGACATCTCGCGCGTGAGTTGTGCACGATAGGCAGGAGAGAAAAGAGGGAAGAGGCGGGACTATAAAAGCCACCGAATCGCGTTCCATGCGGTTGTGCGCAGCAATTATGTACGGGGCCTTGGTCACTGGAGCATACCCTCGATCACATCGTTCCGAAATGATTTCACCAGGCTCCCGTCTAGTCTCCCCGTCACAGCCACACTCGCATGGAAGTGGCATCATGATGATCAATTGATCAATCCACCACTTTGTCCAGGCCTGCCCAGGCTTGCCAGATCTAGAGACGCGTTCTCCGGAGCGCACGCGCTACCGAATCCTTATTCGGTCCTCGATCCAGAACTCATCTCTCGAGGAACTTCGTGCTCCAGCCGGCTCCGATTTTCGTAAAAACATACGTAGTCGACATTATTGCGCAAACTCCTCCGCCCTTGCCAGGACTGAAGAACTACAAGAGTTTTATCCACTTATCTTGTGGATCTCAGCAACGATAAGCCTGAATGCGCGGCCGATAATGGCGCAAAACAATGCCAACGACCCTCCTGCAACAGATGACTGCGGGCCTGGATTCCTCACGAAGTGTGAGCATGAACTCAACTGTGGGAAGCGCGGACGCCGGCCATGAATGGACCCACTGAGGTATCCGTTGCGAAAGTTCTGGTTCGAAGGCGGTAATAAGGCGGGGGATCAAATTCCGCAACATTGAAGACGAAACACAGATTTTAAGAACATGTTGAAGTCAAATTGCGTGAGGATTAGAGCACAGGATCTCAGCTTCAAATTCCAAGCCCCTGAATAAAAGACCGCGTGTACGCTGATTTGCCTATGAGACATCCTCACGCAGACGGTTTGACTTCTTTGCAGCACGCAGACAAAATCGAGATCGAAGGACCAGTCTGGTTCACACACGACGAGGAAGCAATGCCGACGAAAGCCAAATTCCTTTGACACGAGGGAGATATACTTATGCTCGAGGGAGATATATGCTCGCTTATCTCGGTGAAGACTGGTGTCCCGCAGCTGCTGGATCTGCCGGCGCGTGTACCGCTTGCGCAAATTCGCCGGCTACTTCCTAGGTGCTCGATTTCCCGAGCCGCCGCAGGCGACGCAGGCACTTATCGGCTGCCCAGCACGGACCTAGAAGGAACGAGACGCTTCAAAGGGGACAACCGTGTTTCGGTCTTGGGCAGCTGGTTCGGGTTCCGGTATGTACAAAACCCGAACGGTGGCATCAGTCCCGGCATTAGCGGACCTGAATCAAATCACGTTAAGCGTTGACGGGGACCTTCCTTCCTTACCTACCGCACTCCCCCCTGTGCTAACTTGTGTAATTTTGCTCACCGAAATATGTCCGGGGACACTCCAGGATCGACGGGTCTTATGCAAAGCGAGTGGTCCCGGAAAGCGGCAGTTGTATGTTGCTTAGCATCCCATGTGTCGCGGTTGGCTTCAATTTGGCCCCGTGTCCCTGGATCACTGAGGAGCAAATGATTTCACGTGGAGTGATCGTATCACGTGAGTCTCCTGATGCGGGCGAGCGAATGGCCATTTGGCGTTCCAAGCGTAGGCATTGGACAGCTAGGAAAATTGAATGAAAGTGTGCAGATAGAGAATGGAACTGGATAATCTCTGAAGATACCCCAAAGAACACAAGTCAGAAGTTTCGATTCCTTGTCACCGCGGACCTGACGTACACGGGGGTCGTCGTAAGCTAGACGCCATTCCGACACACAGGACAGGACGAGTAATCCTCGGTCTTTCCGACTCAGCGAGACATATCCCATTCGGCGCTTCGAACAGCAGGGCGGCGAATTGGGAACTGGGACGGTTGGCAGTCTGGGCGGCCCCAGACCGCGCGATGGACAGCTCGCCGAGCCAGGAAGCCGGCCGGATTCCGTCGTGCTAGCTTGCAATCAGGTTCTTCATACTCGCAGACCGACCACCGCTCTGCCGGCACACACGAATCCGAAAGCTATATGTACAGAGCTCCGCACAGGCCCCGGATCTCTCAACCGGTTTCGGTCAGACTCACTCGCACTTCCAGTCCCAATCCCCCTCGACCCTCACACCACTCTCACACCACGCTCTAATCACCGACAATGCCAAACACAGGCCTCGCCCCCGCCCGCCCGCACGCGAACTCCGTGCAATCGCGGACGCAGGACCCACAGCGGACACTGCACGTCGGCGATCGCGTCTGGTTCTGGGACGGCTGCGGCAACATGAACCAGGGCGTCGTCGAGTCGGTGCAGAGCGCAACGGACGACAGCGCGGACATGTGCGGCGTGCGCATCGGCCGCCAGGATAAGCTCTATCTTCCGTGCGTGATTCATCCCGCACCCGCGTGTGTGCTCTCGCAGCTGACTGGGATTTGTGGCATTGCAGGACCGCGGTTCTGAGTAAGCTGCAACCGGGTCAGAAGGCAAGATGAGGGAGGCAGGAACGGGGATGAGGGCGCGGGACAGGGGCCGGGGCGGCTCAGAACGCGGGCCGATGTTGCTGAGCCACGAAGCATTGCACGGACCGCATGATACTGCGACGATGACTTGCTGTACAAGCTACTTATGACTGTATGATGAGAAGCAACAAATCGGAATCGCGAACGTATTTCGTGATCCGATCATTCGAACCGAGCTGCCGCTCCGTGCCGTGCCGGTTGGCAACCAAGACACGTCCTGCAAGTATAGCATCCCAGACTTACAAGGCGGCATGGGAGGTGGCTCACATAAGCCAATGTGCCGCGGCCTGGAATATATTCATGTCCGTCCAAGCACATCTGTCGCGCGAAAAAAGAAACTTGTTGGGAGGGGGCGACCACAGCCACATGTTACGCGGCACGTGCTTGGTTGAAACGTTGAATTTTTTTTTACCGCCTCATGATCAAGTCCTTGGTTGACCTTCAAACCGTCCTGTTCCTAAATTAAATGTCATCGCAGACCTTGGAGCCGTCCTGGTTTCAAATCCCATGTCGTTTTATTGTACATTTATCATCTTCGTGCCGCATCAATAATCTCCAAGCAGAACGTTGTCTATGATATAATTCATAGCCTCGGCGCGGAAATTCTGCGTGACGTCAAACCTCACCCATAAAAGTAACATAAATAGCAGAAGACTCACATCCTTTTCAAGCGTGGATCCCTGTGTCTGCCACACAAGCTGCTGGCCGCCCTCCGAGTACTTCGGCCACGCGATCTTCGATGCAACTAGACGCAAATAAGTCCCAGAACAAAAGACATCCGGGCAGAGAAAACACCCACCTTTCGCGTTGTTCGGATCCCCGGTGGCGATGAATGCCGCCCACGAGCGCGACATGTAGAATCCCAGGAACCGGTCCGCGACGGGCGCGCCGGGCCGAGGTACGTTGCGGTGAAGTGGTTTTGGACCCAGAATGCTGTGTCGTTGTTTTGGGAATTGAACGAATACGCAACCTGAGTCAGATCGGAATCGTTTCAGAATGCGCGGGGAGGAACTGGAGAGAGAGAGAGAGAGAGAGGAGAGCAGACCTCGACAAAGTGGCCGACGAAATCTTCGACCGAGAAGGAGACCGAGTATGGGATGTGGTTGAATCTGTGATGGTAGACACTGAGAGTCGATCTCGTGTGGAAAATCAAACACACGCACCGGTACTTGTAGAACGGAACCTGATGCGCGACCGTCTGTCCCACGAACCGCGGTCCACTGAAGAATAGATGAATAACATCCAAATCCAAACAGCCATTCTGCTCACGCATATTCCATAACGTCGCCCACAATCGCACTGACGCGCTTATTTTGAGTTCCCGGAGTCGCGAAAAAGCCATTCTGCACGGGGTCGAGCTCAAACGGCCCCGTGTTGAAGGGGGAGCCGAGTTCCGGATTGTCGGGATACAGCTCGAGCAGACGAGACCGGAACTGCGCGGGCACAACCGTGAGGTTGTTGAACGCATCAGCTGTCGTGTTCGCGCCCAGTCTCGCGAACGAGCGGCCCTCGTCGGTGTTGCTTCCCGTCTGTAGTGATCGTGCATGAGTTATCGCTAGCGATATACTACAATGCGCGCACCAAGAAAGCGACCTTCACCCACTTCCCCGTCTTGTACGACTGGTACACGCTGGGAGTCTGGATAAAGTCCCCGTCGCGCACGATCCCCGTCGTCCCGACCGAGTGGTTCCGGAACGCGTCCACCGGGAGGCCCCGCACGCACGCGAGCTGCGCGGCGGCGGTGCCGGTCAGAGTCGACGCGCACGTCGTGTTGCCGAGCAGCGCGGTGAACGTCGCCTGCAGACCTGCGTCGGTCGGCTGCGGGAACCGCGAGCCGGAGCCCGATTGGGGGATCGCTTGGGTGAAGAGCTTGTCGTCGCGGCCACCGTAGGCGACGATCTGGGTGTGCACGCTGTTGGAGCCCGCCTGGTACCAAGGTGTATAGTCAGTGCGTGGATCAAAAGCGCGTTTCGGCTCGACGCACACTCTGCCCGTGGATGGTGACCTTCTTCGGGTTCCCGTTGAATTTCGCAATGTTCTCCTGCACCCAGTGGAGCGCCAGTCGCTGGTCACGTACGCCCAGGTTCAGCGATCCCTCGTCTGCGAGCTGCTTTCCCGCTAGGAATCCGAACGATGCGAGTCGATAGCTACCACATTAATCAGCAAAGCAGTCCCTCGGGATCCAGAAGCAAGGCACCGACTTGATGCTGACAAAGACGATAGGCGCGCCGTTGGCGATGGAGGCTTGAACCAAGTACGAGCCGTTGTATCGGAAATCCGCCTGTGATATCGAGCTCAGGGTTTATCGCGCCCAGTTTAGATCAACGAGAACACTGACACTGCCTCCCGTGAACTGAGTCAAGTCAGCTTTCAAGCCCAATCGAAGAAAGTTAGAGTCTCACCAGACCACCGCCGTGGACTTGGAGGTGCAATGTATCAGCCTGGAACAGTAGTGCACGGGCCGCGATACGCACTCCACACATCCACCGGAAAGGGCCCCTTCTGTGTGACATTCGTAGGCTGGATGACATTGAGCGTGAGGCAATCCTCCGAGTTCTGAAACCCGCTGTTGTCGTCCTGGATCAACTGTGAGCAGTCTGATTAGGAAGGTCTGTGTGTCCACGAACGAATCCAGTCGTGAACGCCGACCAGCAATGGGGGCCGTACGCCGTCGCATCCAGCGTCCCAAACGAAGCGTTGCTAACGCACAGCTGAGACAAGCTGAAGATGCAGGAGTTTCACGGAACGCACATGGACCGCGGAGGCCGCAACCTCAGCTCGCCCACGGGCGGCTGCGCATACGGGATGCCCAGGAAGAGATTCTGGTTCAACTCTGGGAGAGTCACACCGCTGGCGAAGCGCCTCTCAGTCTCTCGGGACGGGGAATGAGTAAACCGCACGCACCGCACAGTCCCGTTCTGAATCGTCACGGCCGGCTGGCTCGCCCCCACTGCTGCCGCTGCCGCCAGTGCGCAAACAAAGCTCAGTCGAGAGAACATGTGGGGAGAGGAATACCCCCAAAACGGAGGCGAGCTCGGCTTCTTATATGTTGTCTCATTTCCCGGGAACGATCGGCCAGAGGAGGAAGCCCGAAGCGCCGGTTTGCGGGCGGGGGCATCACGCGCCCGCGTCAGGTGATGATGGATGATGTCACCATCTGATCTCGTCCTGACGAATAAATCTTTGTAGGCTTCTACGTCGTCATGCGGGCTTTTGGCCCGGGCTTTGAGTTTCAGTAAACTCCTGTCCGGGCACCGATAGTTGTGAGAGTGAGCTGTGCGAGCCACGATAAAGTAAAGCAAGTCGCACGTACAAGTTCGCACGGTTGGAGTTCGTGGTTGTTCCTTCCTAATAGCGTCAGCTGGCGTTTCTCTGAGAACTTGGACACGGTAATCGAAATATCAGAAAGTATTGCGCGAGTGTGACCTTGGCCTCCGGCGTGCTACAACCTTTTCCCGTTCGAAGTTGAACTACGTATTCCCTTGGCGGTGAGTAAACCGTGTGACTTAAAACCGCTGAGTCAGGACGTTACTGTGCTTTGGCCGTAATTTGAAAGCAAACATCTATCAAGAAGTAGAAGAGACTCCAGTGACTATGTCAACGAAGTCCGTGGTGCTGTTCGATTGCTTCAGAGCATGAAAGGAAGCGGACTTCGAACTGCAACATGACCAGTCTTGGGTGTTACCGATAGTTATCGAGACAGGGCGACCGATGTCAATGGAGGAACTGAAATGGCGATCTGGCGCTCAAAGCATCATTTCAAGTGCATGTCGACACCACCTCGGCTGGAAAAGAGCAACTGATTGTGCATAATTTGATTATCGAACACACTTCTTCTCTTCCCTGTCGAGGTCCTAACGAAATTGAATATCCATTCTAGAGAAAGCATAGCGCACATATATACAGGCCAGAGCAATGAAATAGGTTAGACAGACTCAGATATCCTCAGCCAACCAATCGACCTCTACCTGACACGGCAATGAGTCCACGCATGACCTCATCTGCCGGAGCGTCGCAACGCGATCATAATTCGCAGCCGAGCAATCAGCTTTCGTGCACACCGCGGCCCAGCAGGCCTTGCTCTCCTCCCACGCAGCCATCCCGCCCACCGGCACGCCCAGCATATCGCCCAACGGGCGCGCCTCCATCTCCTTGAACACGCGCGCCTTGAGCTCCCGCCAGCTGCGGTTGTCGAGCGGCGTCGTCGCGCACGTCGCGCAGAAGAACGGCGACCCGTTCCCCGCGAGGAACCGCTCCGGGCTGTCCAGCAGCGCACGCAGCGTGTCGCGCCGCGTGCGGTGCAGCGCGAGCAGCGGCAGCAGCGCGCACCCGGGGATGTCCGTGTCTGCGAGCGCGTCCGGCGACGACGGGTTGAGCAAGTTAAGGCGCAGCGTGTGCGTCGACGCGGCCTGCGCCTCCGCGCGCCAGCCGAAGTGCGCCGCGAGCGCGTACACGCGCAGCGGGTCCGACGCGAGGAACGCGGGCGTGCACACCGCGGGGCGGAGGAACGCGATGGGCCCCGGGGCGTCCCAGATCTCCGCGAGGTGGAGCACGGCGGCGATATCGGCGAGCGTGGGGAGGGCCGGTTCCGGCAGGCCGGACATGAGGCAGAGCAGGGGGACGAGGACTGCGTCTGGTTGGTGGATGGCGAGCGGAGGGTGCGTGGGCGTGGATGTGGATGTGGATGTGGTGCATTGGGAGGGGTCGTGTGAAGGGTCTGGTGGGCAGGGGAGCGACAGCATTGTCCGGAATAGCCCGCACGTTGTGCGGAGGGTGTACGAATTTACCCGGTAGAGCGTGCCCTCCAGCGACTCCAGCACGAAATCATCATCCTCCCTTGCAAACTGTTCGTGGTAGATTGGCAGCGACGAAGGCGGAGGCGACGACGACGGGCCTGCTTGGTCTTCCCCTCGCTTGTGGACGTCGGTGTCGTGGACTTGGGGAGCAGCCATGAGGTCAGCACTGCAGTCGGATGGTAGCAGGGTCGCAGTAAAGTCCCTTGGGGCTCCCTCGCACACTTTTTAGACCCTACGGCAGGCTAGCCTACACGCGGTCCTCGAGGCAGGACACGCGTCATAAAAACCGACACGTGTGATGTCGCCACTCTGCTGCAGACGTCGGGAAGGGAAGGCGTGGGTATTCGCATATCGAGACCCCCCAGAAGGCCCAAGGGCCCGGCAAGTACTTGCTGGCCCGCATCCCTGGATGGTGCAATCAGAGGTGATTAGGCGACGCTGCCGGAATCCCGGCTCGTCCTGTCTTCTTCGGGTGGCCGTTTGGCGAGGGTGACGAGCCCACGAGTATCACAAGGAAGACGGCCATCTTGTAAGAGTAGGGTGAGAGAAAGAGTGACCGTTCGGAACATGCCCCTCGCACACTCTATGTATGTGATTTGCACGAGAGAGCAGCAGGTGATCAATGGAAAACGTAAGTATCAAACAGGGTTCGTCACGTGTGATAAAGTATGCGGGGAGACAGCGACGTCATTGAATCCCGTTCAAATCATCGAAAGATATTTTTCAACACAGTCCGCAGCCCAACTCGAGTTGCGGTATGTCAGATCCACATTATTATTATTGTAAATATTGGAATCACCATCTCCTGTTACATGCTAGTTTATTCTTTACGGCAAACCTCAAATACATGTTGAATTGCTTTCGTCTTGCTGGTGGCAATGTACAACACTTCGCAAGAAAACTCGTTATGGCTGCTTTGGGGGACCTCAGGACTCAGCATGATGTCATCTTATCTGCTTGACAGACCGATATCTTTTGAAATCCTGTGGTTACTCGTTAGCTGCTCATGATTGCGATGAACAAGGTGGTACCTCAAGATAAGATTAAGCGAAAAAAGTTGAAGAAAATATCTGTCCACGAAGGACGATAACGATTGCCCAGCTTCTGTCGTTTGATTCAAAATCTTTCAGCGATTAGGCAACAAGAGCGAGGGTGCAACACGATTTTCCACTAAAAGCATAAATGTTCAGCAAGCAGTGAACACTACAGGAGTCTCGACTACAAATTTATCAGTGCTAGATTCTTGTGTTTTACTACGCGAGTCCGATTGTCCGAGATACAAGATAACATTTGCCCTCAAAGGGAGAGGGGCGAGACGAACCAATCCTGGTGGTTGTTGCTGTTCGATGGGGATGCACAGCCCCAAGTTTGGATCTAGCCCAATCAGCACTTCCATATGAAACCAAGCAATTCGATAAACTCACCGGGTTGCGGCTCACGAGACTGCCGTCGGTCAGATCCACACACTTGTTCTTCCCAGCCCAGACGAGCTGGTCCCCGTTGTTCGTGAAGATCTGGTTCGTGTTTCCCGGGGTGCAAGTCCAGACCTGGAGTTTCGTGCCGTCTGCGGTCGATCCGCCCGTGATGTCGAGACACTTGTTGTCGTACGTCGTGATGGGGCCAGTGAAGCCTTGCGCTGGAGCCGTCCAGGTGATGTTACCGTTCGGGAGCTCGATCGCGAAGTCCGTCTCGATGCAGCCGACGATCACGACCGCCGCGCCATCCGCGTTGGACACCGCGGCCATGCAGTGTGCGACCGTGTCCGTGGACGAGACTGGGAGAGCGCGCGAGGGGTGAGCGAAGCTGCAATGCGGGGCGGTGTCGTTGTGGACTTACCGACGGTCGTGAGGACATTCGAGACGAGTCTCGGGTTGGGCAGGGCCGTCCACTGCTGGTTCGTGTTCCGGAACGCACACGTCCAGAGCTGCAGCTGCGTCCCGGGGGTGCCGTTCCCATCCGTGAGGTCAATGCACATGTTCGTGCCATTCAAGCGCAGGGTGCTGTCGGTCGCGGAGATCCACTGCTGGTTAGTATTCCCCGCCGCGCACGTCCAGACCTGCAGCTTCGTGCCGTTGGCCTTGACGCCGTTCGTGACGTCGATGCACTGTTATGGCACGGATCAGCAAAGATGGGAGAGGCGCTGAGTCGTGGAAGAACTGCCCACCTTATTACCGAATACCTTGATCGGCTGGGGGCCGGAGTTCTGGCGCGTGAATGGCGAGAACGACCATTCCTGGCTCGCGGGGCTGTTCACGGTGTCGCAGTTGTCGATGACCAGGGCGGCGCCGTCCGCGTTGGAGGAGGCGGTGATGCACTGGCCGCCGGCAGGGGTGGCGACTGTCGCAAACAGACGCCCGCGTCAGCAGACCGTGCATCTTCTGGGAGTTCGCTTACACCGCTCGATGATGAGGCCCTGCGCAACACTAGTCAAGAGCGCGGTGAATACAAGAGAGAAGAGCATTTGAGAGAGGAGGAGGAGGTGATGGACTAGTCTGTGGAGCGCGTCCGAATTATATAGTGGCCCACACAACCCGGACCTTGTCGCAGCCGGGGACAGTTGCCCGCCTCTGATCGTAAATTCGTTGAAATTCCCTCCGTGTTTTGATGAGCATCAGGCTACAGGGACGAGTGCGCAGATTAAGTACTAGAGATTGGTGCCTCCCGTGCGGAAACCTGGCAAGGAACCGGTGTGCCAAGCTGATGCGGATGATGGTATTCGTGAGGGTCCGGGGATCAAAGGCTTAGTCAGCTGAATGAAGGGCTAAACCACGGCGGCACCATGACCTGGCAGTCCGGGTCAATTCAATTGCTCACATCCCGGGCTGGCATCGCCGGGCTCGTATCTCGACACCGTCGGAAGCGGGATTCGTACAGTCCGGGGTCGAGAACGAATCCAAGTTCCCAGTGTCAGGCAGCTCGGCCCTGGCCCCTTCAAATGGGTACCCTGATCAACGAAGGGTTCATGATTCCTCAGACGGATCATCCTTACATCACTTGTGCCTTGAGCTCACTCCTCAAGCAAAGCGAGATAGTCAACGAGCAACTTGGCCTCTGAGAGAGCAACAGTCTTTTGAATCGACTGCCTTGACAGGCATCTCGTATTCTTCCGGTACCTCGTCGGACTGCTTGCTTGTTCCTCCCCCAGCATCGATTGAAACTCGCCTTGTGCTACTGTAGGTCGACAAACGGATTGCTCGATGCGGAGGGGGGAGTAGCCAGTTGCCCGCCAGTGTAGAGCGTATTAAAGGAGGGCGGGATGAACCTCAACACCTCATCCCAAAGACTCAACTCGAGCTCAACACTCATTTAAACCTCTCAAATCGAGCTCGCACTCTCATAACACGCAAATATGTTCCGAGCTAACCCCCAAACCAACATTTCTTCATCCTATATTCCTGATAGCACACCCAAAGTGTGTGCGATGGCGGTTACCGAAGCCCAGAAGGCTCCCTCCGTCACCGTCAGCAACGAGGCGATCGTCGGTGCGGTGGGTGGTGTGCCTAGCGTAACCGGCGCCGAAGCCGTCGTCGGCAAGCTCGACCAGCTCTGGGACAGCGGGGCCGTAAGCAGCTGTCCACAATCCACAGAGAGACTATACGACTCACAGAACCGCTCTCCAGACCATCACCTACTCGTATCTCAACGGCACGCCCGCCCAGCAAGCCAAAGTCGACGGAGCCATCCTCGAGTGGTTCCCTTACGCAAATATCACCTTCCAACGCGCTCTCGCCGGCATTCTGCGCATCTCGTTCAACACCCAGCAAGGTTCCTGGAGCTATGGTGTGTGCTCATCTCCTCTTGTTCGTGGTGTGGAATCCGCTGATCATTCCTCGCAGTCGGCCTGGAAGCACTCGAGGTTCCGAAGAATCAGCCTACTCTGAACCTCGGATGGGTTTCCGATTCAGCGCAGACAACGCAGGAAGAACGCGGCCTGATCCTGCACGAGTTCGGGCATGTCCTCGGCTTGATGCACGAGTGAGTGACCAAGACTGGGCGGCAGACTATGACGCTGATCGCGATTGACCCGACAGACACCAAAGCCCAGCACACGGCGGCGCAGTCACTCTCGACGCCAACGCAGTGCACGCCCACTTCGCCAGCAGCCTCGGGTGGAGCGCCGACATGACCAAGACGCAGGTCGTCGACCACTACAGCACCACGAGCGTGTCCAATTTCCCCGCGGTCGACCCAAGCTCGATCATGGCGTACTTCCTGCCCCCTGCGCTCAACGAGCAGCGCGTGCAGATCCCCGCGAACGTGAGTCTGTCGGAGTCCGACAAGGCGTACATGGTTCTCGCGTACCCGCGCCCCAAGCCCCACGCGCTGGCGCCCAACTGGACACTCGAGCGTGCGCTGCAGGTGTTCGGTGCGGATCCTGAGACGGCCCAGGGGATCCTGTCGGCGCGCGGCGACGTGCTGAAGATTCGGGCGCTATTCCTCTCGTTCCTCGTGCAGAAGCGCACGGGGCTCGAGACGCGTATCAGCACGGACGGATTCGAGAGCGACGAGGAGGAGCGGAGCGGGACGATGGAGTTCGTCCGGAAGGAGGTAGAGGTAGAGGAGCCGGTAGAGATCGTCGCGCCGTCGCCGTTCGTTCCGCCCATCCACGACTTTTATCTCCAAAACGGGCCGGCGAACGTCGTGCCGCTCGTGCCTCTGTCTGGGAGTCCACCTGGCCGATCGCTTACAGCGGCGTTTTATGCGAAACAAGAAGTTGCGGAACCCATACAGACTGTCGTGCCGCCTCCGGAACCAGTCGTCGTCGCGCCGCAACCCGCCGTCGTCATTCCAATCCCGGTGGTGCCTGCAGAGGAACTCATCGCAGCCACTGAAATTCCTACGTCGATCCCAGAGACAGCTCCAGCTCCAGCCGTCGTCTTCGTGCCTGAGCAAGAGGCGACCGCTGTTCTCACAGCGGAGCCACAACACGAAGTAGCCCTCGCGCCGGTACAGGTCGAAGAGCCCGTGCTTCTCATGGAAGTAGAACCAGTCGTGCAAACCCCCCTCACTGTCCCTGCTCAAACTCGCCCGCGCGGCATGTCGCTGGTCGCCACCACGCGCAATCGGAAACGCAGCATCGTCGTGACCGAGATCCCGAGACCAGTGCTCGCAGCTATCGAAGCGGCTGCTCCTGAGATCGAACCCGTCGTGTCGGTTTCCGAGCCGGCGATCGTCCCTGCAGCTGAAATCGCCACCGCCGAGCCAGTGGTGCGGACGAAGAGAATCTTTGTTAAGAACAAGAAGGTCGGGCGGACCGAGCCGGTGACGGTACCGGTTGTTGCCGAAGTCCTTCCCGAACCGGTCGTGGTCGAGACCCCATGCACTGAATACCTTCCCACCCTCACCAATGCGCTTGAAGCGGTCTTTCCGGCCGAGAAGAGCCAGACTTGGAGGCTTCAGACGAAGGGCAAGGTCATCGACCCCGCTGATTTCGTGTGGGACACCTCTCTCGCTGCCGCTGGAATCGATGCGCAGTGGATGAAGCCAGACGAGGTCGCTGAGGCTGAGGCTAGCATCGTCGATCTACTGTTTGGAGGGAAAACCGAGGATGAGGAGAAGACTCTCAGCTCTGTCTTCGAGCAGGTACGGTTTGACCTTCCACCTCTCTGCACAAGCTCATTTGTCCGTCGCAGATGCTCTACAGCCTCGTCCCCAAGCCCGTCCACAGCCCGCTGAGCGAGCAACAGGACAAGATCCGCCAGTGGCTCCAGACCGAAGTCCCCGTCTCCCGGTGGCAGCTGGCCACGGAGAAGACCAGTGCAGACGCCGAGCGATCGGAGACCAAGATGTCGCGGCTCGAGCTCAGCGAGTACCTGATGGATCAGTACTCTGCTGCTAAGCAGGCTTGGGAGAGCGAGAAGGCGCTGCTGATCAAGAAGCTCGCTTCGGTGTGTGCACTGCAACCTGGATTGTCTCGGTCGCTGAAGGATAGACTCACAGACCGACCGCACCGACATCAAGGAACGGGCCCGCTCGATCGCACAGCTGAGTGTTGCGCGGGAAAAGGAGATCGCTACGAAGTATCGGGACGCGGTCGTCGGTGGAGACATCCACCGCGTCAAGGAATACATCGCGTTCTTGGACATTCCAATCAATCCTGCAGCTCATGCTTTGCAAGTGAGTCCATCCTCTTGATTCTGCGAATATACCTAAGTGCGATATGTAAGGACGCAAAGGAAATCCTCCGCGAAAGCTCGTCGGTTTCCCTTCCGACCGGGGAGAAGGTCTACCCCGTCCAGCTCGCCCCCGTCGACTGGTTCGCTTCGCTCCCCACGTCGTTCACCCAGCAGGATCTCTCGAACCCCACCGAATCTGTTGGCGGCGCTGATGTCCGTCCGGTGACGCCGGTGAGCAGTGCACCGATTCAGAGTCTGCTTCCCGCTGTGAAGCTCGATGCACCCAAGGGTCGGTGGGAGGACATTGTGCTCGAGAACGTGGTGAGTGAACAACGCTTGCAATGGCGGAAGATCACATCCTGACTGTTCTCTAGCGATCGGACACTCTCTGGAGCGTCCCGCCTACGACTATCAAAGAGGACCGCATCGACGTGGCCTTCCGGGCTTCCAAGGTCGACATCGATCGCAGCGCCTGGTTCAAGCCTCAGATCTTCAAGGACGACCAGTCGCCCTTCTACAAGGTGATGAATGATGCTCGATTGCTCCCCGCTGGTTACTGAGTGTTCCCAGATGGACCAGTCAACTGCCCTCCCTTCCCAAGCCGGATATGCAGCCTCCTTCATTGTTGCGAAGGACATCGTCGTCCGCGTGAAACATACCGACATCGCGCACGACCTGATCAACGCGATCAATTCGTCCTCATTGCTGTCCTTCGCGTATTCCAAGTACACGGACAGCTTCCAGCCGCATGGAGATGGATTCCTCGTCAAGATTCCCGGACCGCAGGTGTGCTTAATCGTCTCCAGCCGAGTGTGTTGGTACTCACGACTGCTCTTCAGGTCATCGGGTACATCGTCGAGCCGCTGCACACGACCGCCGGCACTGCGCTCGTCCCCGCCGATTTCACGGTCGATGTGCCAGCCCCAGATCTCATCCCCCGCGTCGAGCACTTTCACCACCGGCATGCCCATGACACATACCACGCTGTTTTCCCAGGGGTGAGACTCGTGAAGGTGGACGAGAAGTCGGAGTGCGCCACGTGCCATCCCTCCCCCCGAAATCATGACAGCAACTCGAGCTCCAATTACGCAGCGCTGCCGGATGCTACCAAGAGTACGGCCAAGTCCGAACGCGCTGATCCCGAGGAGCAGAGGATGCCTGAGGAGCAAGGGCGGGATGTCCGAGCGAGCTTTGGGCTGGATGATAGCGATCGCTTCTTCTAGACTCGATACTGTTTCTTCTTAGGCTCTGGTTCCAAAATGCATTTCCGATGAGGTGCCCGTGGTTCACTATCCCCTCGATGTTGAATGGACGGAGCGATGAGAGGACGGGTTCGAAATCAGAGAGACAGTCATCGAAAAGAATGGATATTCGATACTCTGCTCGTGGATACATTGCAACTATAGAAAACACCCGAGCCCAAGAATTGAGGATGATCGGCCTGGGGCCGGATATGAGCAAGTTTCGACGATGGATGATAGGCTTACAAGTACCAAATCCGAGTCGATGAGATAGCACTATCAACTGCATCGACCCTTCTTCTGTCGCACATGTCCCCCCTGTGCGCTCTGCTCTACTTTGCGGCTCTCTGATTGGCCCTCATCCTTGTATTGCCGCTTCCCCTCTGCCCACCTCTCAGCAGTCGATTGCGCGCTCGCAGGCTGCAAAGATAAAGCGATCCAGTGGCACGCGCGGTCGATGTTCAGATTGAATGACAGGTCGTTGTGCGTTGCGATGGACGAGTGTGCGGGGACGGTGGGTGGAATGTCAAGCGGAGGGGGCTGGACGAGCGCGTCTGACATGAGATGTGTGGAGGACGTTTGATAGCTTGGCAGGCCTTCAGGTATTTCGATGTGTGCGACCGGGCTGTGAGGAGGATGGCAGCATTCGCGTCCAGCGATGACTTCTTATATCGGAGTGGAAGAGGGAAGACGCTCTCCTAGCCGTCTCGGGACGGCAGGTAACCTTCGGGAGAGCGATGTCCCGCATCGATCAAGTTCCCGACCTCAATACAAAGTAAAGCCGATCCCGACGCAACGCCATGCTCGGCACGACACAGCCGAATAAAGCAACAATTCTATACAACCACCAAACCACAGACTAGAAATACAGATCCAACACCACGTGATAAATCCTCGTTCCGGGCAGACCGTATAGGGAACGAAGGGGAAAGGAAGACCGAAATAGAGCTACAGTGCACGAGCGCAAGCTCGAGTGCCAAAAGACGACGGCAGGTGCCAGGGCTTTGGGTGAATCTGACAGCATGTCAGTAACAGCGCCAGATAGTCTGGAAATCTGGACACACCATATGACGGGGAATTATATGCAATGCATCAATCGGCACCCGCGCTCCTCCTCGACCACCGTCGACTTGGGCTGGATCGGTGCAAACCCGCGAGCCTGTGATGCCCATCAGTAAATGCTCTCCAAAGCCAGGGTGTAGGCATACCTCAGCACTCAGGTCAACAGAGTCCGCAGATATCGGTGCCGCAGAGACAGTCAGGGCAACTGTAAAGCGAAGCATGAGCATCGAACTACTGAGGGCGAAGTAAGCGAGTCACGCGTACCAATCGACAGGACAAGAGCGGCGAGGAATTTGCAGTGCATCTCTGATGATGTGTAGTGACTGATGGATAGATGGTATCGCAGGAGAACGGCTTGGAGGCTGAGGGATGAGTGACTCGACTGGATTCCAATTCGGGGAGAACAATAACGACTGGGACGCTCCACTCCAGTTGATAAACCCCCCCAGACAAGGAAACGTCCGAATACGGCCGTTTCTTTGTCCTGTTGACACGCGACGTCACGACGAACTCGCCTCCTTCCTTTTCGGGATGAGATTTCCGTTTTGGGAACAACGCAGTCCGGTGATGGCGCCGGGCATGTGTGATCCAGTGCACTTGGCATCGCGCCAGCACCTATCAGCACTGATGGTGTACATGTCTCTTCGCACGATAAAGTATATGTGAGGGGTTTCTTCCGGTAACACGATGCGGCTTGTGTTTGTGTGCTGCGATACCCCCACTCTATGGACAGACTTTTTCCTAAGAGAACTTAGACACAGTGTAAATACATGGGCCATCCTCTCAAAAGCGAGACAATTATCCTGGGCAAGGCCGGCTCAAGGTTTGTCTGGCAACCCCTAGGTGAAGGACCATAGAGAAGTCTACCGCAAGGGCGAGTTCCTGTCTTTCGCCGAAATCTCGAGTGATCCGAGTGCGGGGAGGGGTGATAGCATCTGGATGCTTATTTGGCTCTCTCCCTTCGCCAATCATTCCAACGTGATAGCGAGGCGCGGGATAAAGGGGAAGTCGAGTGGTGACAACGCGATGAGCTCTGCCTCGGCGCGGCCACCCTTGCGCGGGCCCTGATATAGAATAATCAACCAACTGTATCGGGTTGACCGTGGCCAGGGTCCTGCCAGGGTCCTTGTCGGCTGCAGCCCTCCCCTGTACCAGCGGCATAATTCGAGCAACGGAATTCGAGGCAGCTCGGTCACCTCTTATCTGGGGTCGCAGTTTATCTCTCAACTCGCAGTACACGTGATCTTGAATCCACGGGTCCTTTAAATTAGCTCAACCGGAAATAATGACTTCAAGGCCGGGAACTTCGTGCATAATGGTATATTTAATTTCCTCACGTGACCTTGGTTGAAATCAGCGCTCCAGCTGATGCTCGAATTGCGAAAGACGCTGGATATGGCCGTAAAAACGGAGCTCATTATTCCAGGCTTCTCCAATGTTTCTGCGGGTCCTAACACCCCACACTACGAGCTCCTCCCAAAGGGATTTGCGGCTCCGCGAGCCGTGTTAGTGATTGTTGGCAAGCGAAAAACAGCCTCGTACGAAGTGCAAGCTCAACTCTTCGGTTTTTTTTTGCATAAAGTATAGCATATTATATGTCATGCAGTCGATCCCAGTTCTTATACGCTGGTGCTCGGGGACATGTTCCTGCAGACCTCCATTCTGGATGTTTTACATTGCAAGCTCTATGTTCACCCTGGAAGCTTGGATGTAGACTGGCAGTAGCTTTGCGAGGCATCTACTGGACCATTTAAGCGTTCAAGTTGCAATAATTGTCTGCAAATGTTTATCAGACACCGCATCCCGCAGACTTGGCCCAGGAAGGAACAGTTGCAACGGGAGCCCGGCGATCATTATATCTATGGTTACATCTCCTCTGCTTACTCCCGAACCTGTTTCTCTGAATGAATCTGGCAGCAGAATCGGGTGGCCATCAGTAAGCCTTCTGATATGACCGACCTGTTGGGTGAAGGACAAACGGAACGTGCCAACGACGATATAATCATGCCGACGTCGCTGTCATCGATGGTTTCACGAGGTGGGTGTGCGTCTACCGACGAGATTTTTTATCTACGGATCAAGGCTGCATCGCATCATGGCAATGACGCTACAAAATCGAACCATACATCGCTAAACGCACGGCTTTAGCTTTGAGGGCTTCTGCTGTAGCAGCCAACAGGGCTGCGCAGAGCGTTTCATCGAAGCCGGACTGCACCGCATGTCACGCGTCGAGGGAGGTAGACAACAGCTCTGCACACCGTGCACTGCCGGATGTTACCGAGAGCACGGCGATCTCCGAGCGTGTTGATGGCGAGGCTCCCGCGGCTCACAGTTGAGCAGAGAGCTTTGCGGGTGGCGGAATGAACGATCTTACTCTTACCAACTTCCTGCGAATTTCATACATATTGTTTTTGCTTTCGTAGTCATATGTATTTCTGATTGATATTCCCGCGGTTCAAATGCGTGAGATGACTATCGAAAACAGCTGTTTGGCTTTTTGAGTAGCAACCAATTGAGCCCATTGGTTTTTCAAGATCAATGTGAAGGATATTTACATCCGTTGGGTAGACAGAAACGCACATACACATGGCAAGATGGGTAACGTACTGAACTGTTTGGGGTCACTGGCAGACTGATCTCCGTGGATCAATTATTGATGGCTACTTCTAACAGAGATGTTTACAACTCTGTGATGTGTAGGGATGTCAAGTGGACGATGGACCTCTGCCGCTTGTCAAGTTGGACGACGAATCTCCGCTAACTTCGCACTGCGATCGGAGACTGCCGAACATGCAGTCGAGGATTGACACCCATCGATGACCTGCACGTCCAGCAACTGACGGGGTGCCTATCCCGAGCAGGTATGCAAATAAAGCGTGGATAGCGCTGTCTCAAGCAACCCACGGGGCCAAGGGTCGTATTGTGATAGTGATTGCCTTTCATGAAGGCTTTGGGAGCGTGTTGAACGGCCTCACGCTCGTGATGAGGCTTGACTGTTCCCTCGTCCTACCTCCAGCCTTTGCTCTTGCGATCCATGTCTCAGACACTCTGCATTGAAGACCATTCCATGACCTCAGGGGATCGCATGGTCGTCGCGTCGTTCAACATCCATATCACCGACCCCGTCGTCGTGAGGAGATCCCAACAGCCGCACTCCCAGGCCAGTGCCGTCCAGCGCCTTCCCCCCGAGATCCTGGTCTCCATCTTCCACTTTGCCTCTCAGATCGAGTTGGGGGGAGGGTTTCCGACGCCGCCGCCGCCGTGGCAGCACACCCCGACCTACCTCCTCGCCACTATCATCCGTGTCTGCCGGATGTGGCGCGCCGCTGCCACAGGCGACAGCAGCCTCTGGGCAACGCTGCTCGTCTCCGCGGACGCCCCGCACCACGTCACCGTCTTCACGGCGCACCTCGCGCGGGCGGGCCCCGTGCGCGGCCTGCGCCTCGTGCGCTGGGCAGACGGGAACCCCGTCGCCCCGGCGCTCGCGGGCCTGCTCGCGGCGCACGCGCACCGCTGGGCGCGGATCGAGGTGCACGGGCGCGGCAGGTGCGGTGCGGCGGAGCTGCGGTGGCTCGCGCGCGCGCGGTGTGCCGCTGGCGCGCTCGAGGCGCTGGTGCTGGGGTGCCGGTTCACGGACGTGGAGGGCGTGGAGGATGTGTTCTGCGGCGCGCCGGGTCTGCGCCGGGTGGATCTGGTGCCGCGGGACGGGCACAGCTGCTCGCCGCCGTCGCTGGTGCTGCCCTGGGCGCAGCTCACGCACTACTCGGCCCGGTATTCGATGGGGCGGCACCTTGAGATCTTGCGCGAGGCGACTCGGCTCGTTGAGTGCGCTGTTCTGCTGCCCCCTGTCTGCGAGCAGCGGGCGTATTACGGGGCTGTCTCGCGGGGCGGGGAGAAGGGGACGATCTGTCTTCCCAATCTGCTTCAGCTGTCCACGGACGACGCGTCGTTCCTTGGTTTCATCACAACGCCGAACGTGACGCATTTGTCGCTCGAGTTCCGTACACAGGGGACCGCTGAGTGCGCGATGTTGGTGTCGTTTCTCGAGCAGTGCAACCTGCATACACAGCTCCGTGCTCTGTGCCTCGTCAACCTGGCAATCGAGCACCTCCCCGCCATAATTACGTCAGTGCTTCCGTTGATACCCGACATCCGAGCACTCGAAGTACGGGACAAGAAATCCTGCGCCCAATTCCGTTCGATGGACGCGTTGTTTCAGGCGCTGACCGTCCAAGGCCAATCACCTGCAGCCTGCCCTCAGCTGGAGGACTTTTCGTACGGCTTCTTCGCGCCGTGCAACCAGAAAACGGATCTGTCGGCGTTGCATGCGATGGTGATTTCGCGGAGCCGAAATCACTCCGTGACGCCCAGACTGGAAGTCTGGAATGTGTAGGGAGGGAGGGGGACCCGAGATAGATTGCTGCCCAATTTTTTTTAAAAACATTCGGACCGGTCCCTATGTTCTAAGTATACATACATACTGACAAGATGTGCAGGATGCCAATCGCGCCATGGACAGCCGAGATGATTGTCTATCGATCGTTTCGTCGCCCCCCACCTGACATGGAAAGCTGTAAATCCGTGATATGAAGTGATCATGACGTCATAGCGCTACAGGAATGTCTACAATCGACTGTTGGATTTCATCTCCCAGCACTGGCTCAGCGCTTCATGATAGACGGCTTTTCATCCAGGTCCGGGACTCCGGGACGAGGTGCATGCAGGGCGGCGTAGTACGCCGGCGGTGGCGGCGGCGGTGGCGGCACCGCCCAGCTCCGGCCGTGTTCGTTTGCGGCGAGGCACGATCTAGGGGTACCTGTACCGCCGTGCTTTTCGCCGGCCCGCTCGGGAGCCCATGTCTCCGATGGCAGTGGCAGCAGCAGCAGTGGTGAGCGCGCGTCGAGGCGTCGGAGGTAGAGCAGCGCGGCCGTCGCGAGGAGGAGAAACGCCGCGAGGATTATCCCTGCAGCAGCTCAAAGTTAGTTAATCACGCGGAAGCAGGTCGGTCCGCATAGGCGCGACGCACCGATGAGGGCGAACACGGCGCCGATGCTGAGTCCGCCGTGGGCGTTCTGGAGGAGGGATGCGTTTCTCGTGGACAGCGCAGGAGCCATGGGTGGTGGGTGGGTTTATGTGCGATGCTGGCGTTCACACTCATACTACTACTTATAATAACATATCACGAGAATCTCGGATTTGAGATGAGCCGGAGCGTCGGGCAAGGGCAGCTGCAGCTGAGCTTCTCGCTCACGATGCAGATTGAAGCTGTAGCTGGCTGTGCTAAATCCCCTTGATTTGCAGTGTGGAGAGTTCCGCGTCTGTCCCGTCGCAACAGGAGCGAGTCTGCACACATGGCAGGAGCGGGGGCAGGTTCAGCTGCCAGATGCCCAGATGCCCTGATGACTGGTCTGGTGCCTGGCGGTGCAAGGAGCACCGACCACGGGAGTTCAGAGTGGTTAAGCTGTGTGTGTTATGCTTCTGTGGGCTGCAGGGAAGATTGCGCGGCTTACGCGCGCGGAGACTGTAAAAATACTGGTGACTCATTACATTTACGTTCAGATCATTGGCCCCTTGATCCGATCAAGCGCACAGATCCCAATGTTAAACATGCAATCAAATGAATTACTGTATGTACTATCGATGACCCACTTCTGCAAACACTTTGATGGTGGCCTCGCTAGCTTGCATAACACACACCGAGAAAAAATAAAATTGAGGATATTAAAGTTAGAACCCTTGAGACCGTCTGCATGAAATTTACTTGCTATCTGTGGGCAGAGGATGAAGCCACGCAGTTGCCGAAACGATCACTTTTTTTGGCGGGGCTGACCCCCCTTTTGCAATCGCTTGTCACACGGGGTCACACTTTGATGCAATCCGGCATGTCTCGGCAATGATGTGGCCTGACTGGAGGCGGGTCTCGGTTATTGCACACGGGACTTGAAAATTGATGGCCTCCGTCACGCATGCTCCGTTCTCATGAACTGCGAGGACTGGACTCAGGATATATTAACCATGCATTACCAGTAGCAAATATAAGGGTGTGAGCTTTTTTCCGCATCGAAATCCGATATCTCTGAGTCAAGATGAGTAAAAAAGTGTTCTGAAGGTAGGTTTATGGTCTCGGGTCTAATTATTTCAAAATATGGAATATATATATTTTACAGGAGCATTGAACAGCTATATAATAATCTCTGGGAGTCCATCCGGGACACGTTGAGGGATGTGGAAGCCCAGGAAATGAGTGTTTATCACGGATTGCAGATCAGGGTGCAATTGCAGAAGTGGGTCAATGATAGTATATAAATAACAACTAGCGTCCGTACTCAAATAGGCAAAAAATACACTGGGTGCCCTCCCCGCACGCTCACACGCGCCCGGGCCCGGGCGGCGGCGTCGCAGCGTTGCGGCCCGGCTCGTGCGGGTCGTAATACGGGCCGTGGCTGAGGTTACCCTGCGCAGACGCGAACGGCGTGTCCTCAGCGTACGCCTCCTTCGACGTCGAGTACCGGGTCCCGCTCTCCCTGTTCACCCGGGTCAGCAAAAACAAGATAAACAAAGTGTCGGGGTGACTGACGCAGCGGCGGCGGCGAACAGCGGCGCGCCGACACTCGTGTACAGCTGCCGCTGCCCCGCGCGCCGGCTCCGGCGCTGCACACGCACGAGGTACACGCCGAGGCCGAGCAGCGCGAGCACCAGCGCGCCGATCACGGCGATCAGGATTACGAACAGCGTCGGCAGCGGTTTGCCCGAGGAGGACAGATCCGATACGACGGCGAACTTGGACGACGCGGCGGTCGTGTTCGTGTTCGTGTTCGTCTTGGCGAGCGCCAGGAACGCGCTGAAGGTTCTTGGCCCGGTGGCCGGCGCGTTGATCGAGAAGACCATCCCGGAGGTGCAGTGCACGGGCGGGCCCTGCTGCCCGCAGTACCCCCAGATGGGGTTCGTCTGTTTGGGAGCGTCAGCAGCAGCGATCGCAACGGCGGAATAGTAAGACGCACGTCGTTCACAGTGATCTTGAAGGTCGGGAACGTCGTCGCGCTCGCACTGACGGGCATGCTGTTCGAGCCAAGTCAGCCTCTGGCATGGGTTGCTCGAGGAGACGACGCACAAGCCAGACTTGAATCCCATCATCCCGGTGCTCTCCTGCAGAGGATGGCACGGGCTCGCGAAGCTCGACTGGGTCACCGTGTGGTTCTTCGCATGAAACTCACTTGGTGGGAGAGAGAAATGGCGCTCAGGAAACAAACACGAGAAGAAGAATAACGCCTGCTGGACGTGCTCACAAGACAACGGTATCCCCCGCGGCCGCGCTGATGTTCGACGGCGTGAACGTCAGCCCGTCCGCGCCGACCTTGATCCTATGCTGCACGGACCCTGCACCCGATCAGTCGTCGCACAAACGGGGGAAGGCACAAGGCGGGCATACCCGTCGACGAGGGCTTCGCGGCCATGGATGACGCTGCAGTCGTGGAGGTCATGGGCTTGGACGCCATCGCCAGTTTCTGGAACGCGTCAAACGTTTTGGGACCCGTCGTGGGCGCGTTGATCGAGAACACCATCCCCGCGGTGCAGTGCACCGGCGGGCCCTGCTGGCCGCAATAGCCCCAGATGGGGTTCGTCTTGGAGAACGAGTCAGTCAGTGTTGATGACGATGCGGGGGGAGGTAAAACACACGTCGTTGACGGTGATCTCGAACGTCGGGAAGTACGTCGCGCTCGCGCTCACGGGAACGCTGAGATAGTCCAAGTGAGAATGGGCACTGGCTTGAGCGTGAGGTGAGACGACTCACAACCCGGACTTGAACCCTGCGACGCCGGTGCTGGCCTGCAGCGGCATGCAGGGGTTGGCAAAGTTTGACTGGGTCACGGTGTGGTTCTTTGGGTGGAACTCACTACGCACAGAGATAAGAAAAAACAGAGAACAAGTGGCGAGAGAGAGAGAGTGAGAAAACATACAAAGAGATCTTGTCTCCAACAGCTGCCTGAATATTCGACGGTGTGAACGTGAGTCCGTTGGCGCCGACCTTGATCAAGTGCGTCATCCCTGCGAGTCCTGGGTCACTTGATGCGGCACTGAAAGCAGCAGAGAGATGCTCACGGGTGGCCGAAGGCTTCGACGCCGCCGTCTGCGATATCGGCGGTGCGCCCGTCGGCTTGCTGTACATCGAGGCGCTCACCCCAGAGGGGAACGCATTGCCGGAGACGCGCGGCTGGCGCTGCGTCGTGCCCTGCGCGGGGCGCGTGATCCCACACCGCTTGAGGCACTCGGCCGTCCCGGCGATCACGTTGTCCGGGATCTGTGCGTCGAGTCCCGCGACTATCTCCACGCCGATGTCGCCTAGCGTCGCAGAGACGACGTCCGGAGCCAGACCGAACACTGGGCCGTCCCGATCATCGTCAGCGCACCAAATAGAGAGAGACAGAACACGGCCACTCACGGCGCTGGGCGACCTGCATCCCGCCGGGATCTTCGCCGTTGAAGCTGGAGACGAACTGGACGGGCGCGCACCCGTCGTTGACCTGGAAGTGGATCGAGCCGATCGGGAAGACGGTCATCGCGCCGGGGTGCAGCGCCGTCACGACGAAGCGCGCGCCGTTCTCCGTGATCATGCCCGTGCGGAGCGTGCCGTTCACGCTGATCAGCATCTCCGTTGCGCGCGGGTGCGTGTGTGGTGTGTTCATCGCGCATGCGTCGAGGAACCCCGTCGCTGGCGCAGAGGAGGTGTGAGTTGGGAGATGCCCTGCGCGACGGCCAGGAGACACACCCATGGCGGAGTTCAGCCCGATCACGGCGGGGAAGGACGCGGCGTTGGCGAGGACGATGCTTCCCCCCGCGCCCTTGGTCGCCTTCTTCGCCGGGTCGGCAAAATCAAACACAAACTGCACATCCAGCGCGTCAGATCGAATGTCCGACGAAAGAGAAGAAAGCGTCCGCACGTCTGAGTCCTTGCTGAGGAGCGCGATGCGGTCGTTCGCCGTCGGCGCGTTCTTCAGCGCGCTGATGAGCTCGGCCTGCGACGTCGGTGCAGGCGCCGAGCTCGCAGCATGCGCGCCCAGAGTGAGGAGCAGGGCCACGGAGACGGTGCGCAGTCCGTTCGGCATGTCGGTCGGTAACGTCTATCGTAGAGAAAATGGGAGGTGGAAGAGCTCAGCGAGCTGGGAAAAGCGAAGCGGAAAACAAGTGCAATAAGGTTTGTTGCCTCTCCATCGTTGAGGGTTTTAAACACATCTGGAGACTGAGCGCTCGTGAGATCAAACGGAGGCCACTGCCGCATACCTATGTGTGCGCGCGCGTTCAGTCAGGGGACCGAGCAACCCGGAGGCTTCGCTGACCGCCGGCGCTCGCTTTACAAATACATTCCATTGATTGGGCGGGGATTGGATCGCGTGGCGTCCTTGTTCCTTGTTGATGTTGAGTTATTTCTCGAGTTGAGGTATCTCTGCGCCTGTACGAGCGTCTTCGCCTTCCCGCCCCGTGGGTATGAAACCTTTTTCTTACTCTGCGCAGCCCTTGGTCGATATCCTGATACTGTTGAGTGAGTCCATTCCTGCCTCAATTGAGACTCCAGGCAATCAAGGTACGATACCAACCTCAGCGATCCATTGAGATGCGAATAATCACGGCGTTTGGTGTCTGTGTCGTTTCCGATGAACATCGCCTTTAATCGCCTTCGCCTGTGCTGCTGCTGCTTCGACCAGAGTGTGAACCTCTGAGACACCGATTGTTCAAGAAGCTATGCACGAAGCTACCCGTAAAGCCCGCATGAAACGATTCGCAGCAGAGCACAGAACGAGGTGAACAAGCTGTCGCACAGCAATCTCATTTCGGGTCACGCATCCGGTCGTGTGATTTGTCACGCAGTGCTCTTCTCGTGCAATCATGTCGCGGAAGCGGCTGCGAGCCGCCCCGATATCTGATTTTGCCACCCGGATCACGTGTCCGGTCCTGATTCAGATTTCGACGCTCTTCCATTTGAGCGCTGATGCATGATGTGCGTTTCCATTTCCATTCTGACTCATGGGTCCTTACATACATGCCAGGTCAAGTGCATCGGTCGAAGTCTCCGTCGTGACTTGTGCATGCTAGGTCCTGACGACGTGCAGGCGTTCTTTTACCTGCAGAACGGCCAGTCGTCTGAATGAATGGAAGCGCTCGCCGACGTCCATTTGTCTGAGCAGCTCACCCGGCAGGCTTTTACTGTAGCCAGACCTCCTTGGACGTCTCCGGCAAAGCCCGTTCCTGTGACAACGAAAGAATAGAATTTCCATGCCGTCACAGATCATCGCTCACTCGGAAGCCCCGTCAAAAATGGGACGCCCCAGGTCCTCTACGCTCTTCTCTCCTTTCATCTTCTTCGTCTCGTCGTCCTTTCCCCGCCTCCCCTTCCCATCCCCTTACATCTACGACCGCCCGGCTGCCGGCCTACTCGTCTCTCGCTCGCTACACGAAAACGCCACCGCCTTGCTCGACGCACACCCACGATGGTCGCGTCGAATCCTCTCTACTCGGGATGGTCGGTGCAAAAGTTCCAGGCCACAGTCATCAACGACGTGTGGCCCGAGGTCCTGTTCTTCTCCTCCGTCGCTGCCAGTGCGTACCCGGCCCCCCGCTCGTCCGCCCCGGAATTTGCTCACCGGGTCGTGTGCCCGCGCGCCCAGTGGTCTCGGCTGTCACGCAGCTTACGAAGCATAGCTTGGGGATCTCGAATGCCCTGCTGACGGTGCTCGGTACGGTGTTGGGTCTCGTCATCTCGTTCCGCACGAGCACCGCGTACGAGAGGTGTGTGCGGTGTCGGGGTTCGTTTGCGCGCGCGCGCGTTGATGAAACGCCCATCCCACAGGTACCAGGAAGGCCGAAAGCTCTGGACGACCATCATCATCTCGTCGCGGCATATTGCTCAGATGGTCTGTCGAGCGTGTTCCAGACGAGAGGGATGTCTTCCTGATCTCCGGTAGATATGGGTGCACGTGCCCACCGAGCGGACCGACAAGAACAAGCGCAAGCTGTCGACGCTGGAGAGCATCATCGAGAAAAAGAGCATGGTCAACCTCGTGCGTCGATCGTCCCCAGCCTCCATTCCGTGTACAGTATCTCATCAACGCCCAGGTGCAAGCCTTCTCCGTGGCCGTGAAGCACTTCCTCCGGGATGAAGCGGGCATCTACTTCGAAGACCTGTACCCGCTCATCTGCTTCCTGCCCCGGTACGCCACCACCACCGGCGAACCCACGGCCGCGGACATGCTCCCGCTCTGGGACGCGTGCGACGACGAGGAGTTCCCGCTCACGAGCGCGCCCACGACGGCCGCGCCGACGCGGGCCAACACGCCGTCGACCATGAACCTCGACGCGATGACGAACCCGGACCTCGACAAGATCGCCGGGTCGAGCTGGCGGTCGGCGCGGCGCACGGGCAACAAGGCGTTCGACCCCGAGGCGGCGCTGGCGGACATCCAGGCGCACCGCCCGCTGAAGCCGTCGCGCAACCCGCCGCAGACGACGCTGCTCGACTACTTCCCGTTCTTCCGCATCTTCGTGTGGCTGTTCAGCTCGTGCAGCCGGCGCCTGACGCGCCGCGCGCGGAATATGAAGAGCAAGCACGCGCCGCTCACGGAGAGCAACGTCCCGCTCGAGATCACGATCTACCTCAATGCGTACATCGCGCGTGAGTGCTCCTCCTCTGCGGCCTGCGTGTCGGTATGGTTGGGTGACCTTGCTTGTATAGATCTGATCAGCAACGCCTGGGTCATGCCCGCGTTGGCGACGGGTCTCTTGAACAACGTCTCGATGCTGCAGGACTGCATGACGAACTTGGACCGCATTGCGTCGACGCCTCTGCCGTTTGCGTACCAGGCCCACCTGCGCATGTCGCTCTGGTGCGGTGGTACTTGTCGTTTTACATGTGGTGCCAGCTAACGATGCTGACAGGATGTACCTGTTCTTCCTGCCGTTCCAGATCGTCGAGGCATTCGGATGGCTTACCATCCCGGGCACCGCCTTCGCGTCCTTCCTGCTGCTCGGCTTCCTCGAGATCGGCCAAGAGAGTGCGTGTTCTTCTCTCCGGACTTGTCTCCCCGCCTGACGTCATCTCCGCAGTCGAGAACCCGTTCAACTACGACCTGAACGACCTGGACCTCGACGCGTTCTGCCTCTCGATCCAGCGCGAGCTGCACGAGATCACGGCGCACACGTCGCCGGACCCAACGCAGTTCGTGTTCAGCGCGTGGAACCAGCCGTTCGCGCCGACGGACCGGCGCAGCGCCGAGGAGCTGCTCAACGACGAGGAGTACACGCACGCGGACCACGGCGACGCCGAGCCCGGCATCAGCAGCATCCGCCGCATCTTGCTCCGGAACTGGAAGGATGTCGACCGCATGACGCGGGAGTGAGCGCGGTGCCTTCTTTGGTGCCTTCTTTCCTTCCTCTCTCTCTCTTCTGGGGCGCTCGTTCGTATTGTTGTTTTCCTGTCCTGTCATGTCCTGCTCTCGTCGCATCGTCATCCAATACCACATTCAAATAGAGTAACTACATCCGCATCCATCACCTAGCATACTTGTCTGCCCAACGGACGCACCCGCCCACTCTCGCTTTCCACCCCCGTCGTAGCATCTTGCTTATTTATCATAGACCCGGTCTGAATGTGCTGCAGCATTTCCGCGATGCATCGCGCACGACGGGTTGTTGCTTCGTGGTGATCTGCCCGACTGGGACAGATTACTGTGCTTTCCCCGTCGGTCTGGTTCATCTTCGGTCCGGGAACCTTGTTCCCCTGATTTCTCAACGGTTGCGAGGGCAGTTTCAATTCGATGCCCACAGCTCAAAATTGGATACTGTAGCTTGACTGCATGATCCCCTGCGGCGGGATCGTCCAGCTGGGTGAATCCGCTCGCTTGTTTAGCATGGAGAGTCGAGACGCTGAGATCACTCTCATCCGCGGTGCTGACCCAGCTTCGTCCCCGTGTCCGTTAACGAAGACTGGTTGCCCGCACGTTTCGGGCTGGATGTCTTTTCGAGCAGCCTCAGTAGGGTGATTGAGATACCTGGAATGTTGAGGGTCCGGAACGCTCCCGCATGAGAGATCTCGTCGAGAACACCCGGGCTCACCCTGTCTCTTCGGTTGCACCCTTACGCTCACATGGTCACTGCGCAGGTTGGAGTCCCGTGCGATACACGTGACCGCGTAAGGACCCTGGCGATCATTGTTGCGCATTCAGGCTGCATCCGCCCTGGCTGAACTGCTCTGACTTGAAATTGATTAACACGACTCCTTTCAACGCCAATGCACAGTTGGCTGGCGTCATTCACCGGCTTCCTCTCAAAAGCCTGTTTGCGTGCTACTGTATGCTCGATCTAACATGATCACCTCACATTTGCGAGCGATTCTGTGGAGAATGAGGGGGTTGTCTAAGAGACTTCACTCGGATACCGTCCCTGGGATTTGAGTTTGTATTCATGTTCGCCGCATACACTCGCCCCATGTTGAAGATGTCGCAAGTCTCTACCCTGAACTCAAGCATCACAGAAATCAGCTGTTTAGATACGTTTATTCCCGTGGTTGAGACCCCGAAACAGTCCCGAGGGGAGGAGTCACCTTGTTTCAGAGGATAAGCGGACTTGATCTAGACTGCACCGGCGAAAATGGTTGCGGATTGCGTTTCTCACAGATCAAACACAGAGTGCAAGTCTGAAACAAGTAGGATGCTTGTGTTTGACACGTGAAAAAAACTGTCTAGTATCAGGGGGTTTCCTCTGGCCCTGGCTCGCAATTTGCATAAGGTCTCCTGTGCTGCCTCCACCGCCTCAGATTCTCATCCTGAGGTGGGAGATAAGATCTTGAAACGACAGCTGCAATATTTATTTACCAGGGCTTACACTGCCCGCACAGCACGGGCAAGGCCATCCGTGATCCGTTTCTACCCTGATCTCTGCCTTGTTGCAGACAATTGATGAAAGTTCGGCTGGTCGGTGCCTGAAATCACAGGCACCCTCGGTCGATACGTTCTGGAGGCATGGATGCTTTTTCAGACTAACGGGCTCGTAGAATAAATATCCAGACTGTCCGTGGACCCCCAAGGTTAGTGAAAACGAGACTTCCAGATGGGAATGCAGGAGGAGTGTGTGATGGCGGGACGATGATGTCACCGTTGTGATGGCGGGCTGATCACCCCGCTCCAAACCTGAGCGTCGCTCTTGGCGTGCGAGGTCGAGCGACTCTATAAAGCCCTGCCCTGTGTCCATGCAAATCCCATTCATCTACTCACCGATCGAACGACCCGACGACCATGCTCTCCCACCTCGTCCTCGGATCGCTCCTGGCCCGCGCCGCCTTCGGCTTGATCATCGAAAGCGACAGCCCGGCGTGTATGTCCCTGCCTGCCTTGATCCGTGCGCCTTGCTGAGCCTTCGGCACGCAGTCACCTCGTCCGGAACACAGGGATGCATCGCCGCCTCGTCCAACGCGGACGGCGCACCCGTAGTCATCCAGCACTGCGACACCGCCAGCCCCGCCAACCAGGAATGGGTCTACTCGACGTTCACGAGGCAGGATGCCGGCCCGCAGCCGATCACTGTCTTCGGCGACAAGGTGCGTGCGGAGCAAGTTTTAGTGCGTAGTGACTGACACACACGATGCACAGTGCCTCGACGTCGTCGACGGCGCGCACAACAACGGCACGAAGCTGCAGATCTGGACGTGCGCCGCGGGAAACACGAACCAGCAGTGGATCTCCGTCAGGGACTTCACGATGCAGTGGGCCGGGACGAACCTGTGCATAGACCTGACCGACGCGAGCACGACGCCCGGCACGCAGCTGCAGCTCTGGATGTGCGATACGCGGAACACGAACCAGAAGTGGACGGGGCTCCCGGACCCGCGGCTGGTCTCGAACGTCCTCTCGAGCGTTAGTGCGTCGCATCCGTCCTTTCCCTTGCGGGTCTCGTTGCTGACTGCACCACTCCCCATGGCACCCGCTAGTCTCCTCCACCGACGACGTCGCGCACTGCCTGGCCGCAGAGTCGGACGCCGACGGTGCCGCGGTCGTGATCGTCGGCTGCCTCGAAGTCGACTTCAAGTCCGCGCTGCCGAACGGCAACATCACCTGGACCGCCCCGTCGCTCGGCTTCTCCGGCCCCATCACGATCTTCGAGAACAAGTGCCTCGACGTCTCCGGGGGCTCGACCGCCGATGGCACGAAGCTGCAGATCTGGACCTGCGGACAGGGCAACCCGAACCAGCTCTTCTCGAACATCGGCGACCAGATCCAGTGGAAGGGCACGAACCAGTGCATCGACCTGACCGGCGGAAACCTCGAGGGGCTGAACCAGGTGAGCGGGATCTGGGCTAGCGATCGAGAGTCGGAGACCTCTGACAGTTGTTCGCAGATCCAGATGTGGGCTTGCGCCACCAACGGGAACCCCAACCAGGGGTGGTTTGTCGCTCCTCTCGGCGGCTGATATGGACATTTACTTCACGCTCGTTCCATCGGACTTCTTTATACGTAGTAGTGCTATCCAGTTATGATAATTAATTGAGATTCTTGATGTGCACACCACAAGGACTAGTGCACTACATTGTTATACTGTAAATCTGAACAGACATTAATCAGCTCAAATGTAAGGGACACTTGTTCAGGCTATCCCAGAGGTTGTTTGAATTGCTGACAAGAATCCTTCGGACATCGCCCGCTTGGCCCAGTGGTAAGGCGTCTCACTCGTAATATGCGATGAGAAGATCAGTCGTTCGAGTCGGCTAGTGGGCACTTATTTTGCGTCATAGACCGGCCCATTCATCAGATTCCCTCTGTCATTCATCATCTGTTTTTGTTTAACCCTCTGCGTTCAAGTTCTCAGCCCAACTTTCTGATGATTTCGGTGAGTTAGCTCTCCCAGTGCCAGTGCCAGGTGCTTCTCAACGTAGTACCACAGTACTTTTCTTCCTTAGGCTTCTCGCGATATCAACCAATTATCCAGTTGCCCCAGGACGATAGGGTATAAAAGGCAAAGCAGTGAACGCATTTTTCCTTGAGGCTCACTACTGTAGGACGATCGGTTGGACTCTACAAGATCCGTGCACTCGTCGTGCATGACACCGGTGGTGAAACGGTATCATGCTTGCCTTCCATTGAGTCACAGCAAGCGGCACGGGTTCGACTCCCGTCCGGTGTATTTTTCCGCGTCGCTTTTTTGACGAGATCCGCCTCAGACATTCGTTGTCTTTTCCTCTTGCCCCTATCCTGGATCATGTTCCATGCACGCTGAATCGCACATCACCACCACCATGGACCTGATTGTCACCCACGTTCCATGCGCATTGGATGGCTGTGGTAACTTTCAATCCCGGGTCCACGTCACAAGCGCGAGCTTCCTGGAATTTCAGAGCAGCCGCCGAGACCATTCGATGTATGGATTCGCGATTTCCTGCTGACAGAACAGGTGCAAGCCGGATGCAATCACTCGAGTTATTCGCATAGTACGGGAGGATCGTGCAGATAAAGTATGACAGGAAATTCATCACGAGCCGCCAAAATGAAGTCACAATACCCGAGCGCGCTGCATTCCAAATGAGTTCGCGGAAGTGTGAACGCGGAGCATAGATAGATCGATTGGACTCACCCATCAATTAATGCCAGCCTTCGTGCGCAGCAGGGCGACCCAGCTCCGCCTCCGCGCCCCCCCATGGTCCTTCTTCCGAATCGAATCTTTCTCCGTGGGTGGTCCCTCCGATGTGACGATGGACGCTGGCCCGTTCTCCGCAAGCCCCGCAACGAGGCTGGACCGGCGCTGTGTTTCAGTTGGCAGAGTCTGAGGCGCGAGTGTGGGCGCGGGATCGGCCCGTTCGCCGGGTTTGGAAGCGGTGTGGCCTCCGGAAGGGACTCCTGAGACGGCGATGGAGTGTCTGCGCCGTTGCCGCATGCGTTCGAGCAGGTCAAGCTCCGCCTGCGACTCGATGGGCACGGACAGGCGGCGCGCGCGGCGGTCGCTGGACGAAAAGAGGTGCATTTGTGGTGGGAGGAGCGGAAGATTTGTTTGGGCTCATATTCAGAGACCCGCAGTGTTATATGGGCTCTCCTCGCACTGTCTTTCCGCGGCAGGCGATGTGAGACTGGAACTTGACATCTGATTGCCGATCAGCTCATGCTGATCACCTGCGCGATGTCATCTTGCTTACTGTACGCGCAGGTGGATCTCCCTCTCCAAATGACTCCACGATCACCCGCCACCGACAAGGCCTCGCATCGCACGCGTGCCATTCATATATGCACCAAAGCACAACTTTCGCCCAGCACCAGCAGGCAGCAACGCAGCCCCCTGGCCTCGGCTTCCCGAGCGCTCGACGCCCGATTACTGTAAACTTACATACGCTCCAATTCCAGAGAATTCTCGAATCCCCATCGTCGAAACCTTCTGGATTCTGATTCTGGATCCACCCTCTGGTGGTCGGGAACCTGAGTAGTCGCCAGCTCGCCGGTGACACCCACCCGCTGCTGTAGCACAGCAAGCTCGATTCGTGGATCCAGGAGCGAGGTCGCCGGTGCCCGCGGAGCCTGGCGTGGTGATAGACGCCCGCTGGTGTGATGTCGCGTTGGTATGGGATTTGGATTTGGGTTTGGGTTTGGGTTTGGGTTTGCATTACGAGGGGTGCTGTGGAAATTGGGTTCCGGGAAGCGCGTGGCTTCGCTCGCTTTGCTTCAAATTTGCGACGCGGGGCTGAGCTGTGATGGAGATGCAACCACTCAAACTCGCTGGGGAGCGTGTATGCGTGCAGGCTGGCGCGCGGAGGGAGTAAGGACCAGAGCAACGGGCCCCTCGTTTGGTGCGCACATATCCTGATTGGAGTGGAGGAGGACGTGCGCTGACGGCGATTCGATTTCGGTGCAGGTCCACGTAAATGCGCTGAGAGATTCGAACTCCACGACTTCCGAGGCGTGGCGGCGATTCGGATTCTGGTTGCTTACGCTTGTGCTTACTTACTCCTCTCACCACTTCTTCTTTCTTTCTTTCGTCTGTTCCCTTGCACCGTTTCCCTCTCCTCCCCAACCTCTGCTTTGCTATCAGCACTTGCCGCGAGACTTGCTTGTCAAACTTGGTGCAATGTACGTCGCGACATGTGTGTTTCTCGGCTCCCGGACCTCCACTGACGGACGGACGACCACAGGCCTACGAATACCAGCGCCGAAGACGACGTGCTCCACAGCCCGCGTCCGAGCCAGAACGAATCGCTCTACTGCACCTCGGACGACGACGACGCAGCCACGCTGGACATCACCGCGTTCAGCAACGACGGATTCTCCGACTTCAAACTCGACTTGACGTGTCTGGTGTCCCCGCCGCCGTCCCCACCCCAGCCCGCTTCCCCGCAGCTCCACCCTGTCTCCTCGATCTCGTCGTCCGCCGCGCGGCGCTCCGTCTCGTTTTCCAGCCCAGCGCCGATTGGGAGCATCGTGCGGCCGGCATCTGCACCCCGGCTCGGGCTGGGCTTTGGCTCGACGACGGCCATGGGAGCTCCGACGGGGACCAACTCGTCCTCGTCGCCCCGGCTCTCGTTCACGCTCCCCATGACGGCGAACTGTTCCCGATTGGGACGGGGGACCCCGATCGACCCTGGGCGACGGTCCGAGTGGGCCGGGCACGGAGGCGTCGACCTGGGCGCGCGGGAGGACGGGGTGCTGTTCTCGACGGTGCGCTCGTCGTCGGGGTCGTTCCTGTTCGACGGCAGCGGCGGCGGCGACGCGCGGTCCGAGTCGCCGCTGACGGAGTGGAACTACGTCTCGCCCGTGCCCGTGCGTGCGGCGAGCCTGCAGCTGCTGCAGCCGCTGCCGAAGATCTGCCTGGCGGGCATCGACGACACGGAGGGCGGGTCCGCGTCGGCGTCGCTGTCCGAGTGGGTCTCGTCGACGCAGAAGATGTTCGCGTCGCCGTCGACGGTGTCGCTGCCGCCCGTGTCGCCGATGACGACGCAGTATGAATCGGCGCGCGAGTCCGTCGAGGACGTGTCCTCGCAGCACCAGCACCAGCCGCAGGAACAAGAGCAGGAGCCGCAGCCGCAGCCTGATCTGCTCGGGATGTCGCTCGTGCGACGCGCGTGCAGGACCTCGATGCGATCGAATGTGCCGTGCGCTCCGCGGATCAAGATGACGTCGTTACCCCGGCCGAGGGCGGCGCTGCACGCTGTCAGTGGAGGTATCATCAGCGCGTGGTTCCGGGGAGGCAGGCAGGCAGGCAGATAACCGAAACGAAGGTCCGTCTGCCGAAAAGAAAAAACAACCAAAGCCACAAAAAAAGAAAAACGAGGACGAGGACGAGACTCACTGGCCCGGACGGAGAAATCACTCTGCGTGCCCACGATCACGATCTCCGCATCCTTCGCGATGAGCGCATCGAGCCGCGTGCCCGTGAACGCGTTGTTCTTCTTCTTGTCGATGACGTGCTCGCGCGCGAGCGGCGTGTGCTCGAGCTCCCACCCCGCCGTGTGCGGCTCGTCCAGCTCTCCGAAGTCGCCCGTGTTGCGCACGTGCACGATCAGCGGCGGCTCCGCTGACGCGCGCGCGCGGGCTAGGACGATCGCGATGTTTGCTCGTAGGGCGCGTGCGGAGGGGACGCCGACGGGTGGGTCGGAGAGGAAGCCGTGCTGGGCGTCGAGCACGAGGAGGACGCGGTGTGATGGAGAGGTGCTGCTTGTTGTGGGCATAATCGGTGTGAGCCTTGCAGGAGAGATAGAGAGGGAGAAAGATGTAGAGCGTCGTGCACCGGGTATTTAAGTTCAAACCTGCACGCGTCGCTTCCTGTATGTGTGACGCGTCAGGGTCTCCGTGTGTGAGCAGAGCGCAAACGCTCAGTGTACGACATCGACGTACCCGGAGAAAGGCTGTCTTCCGCTCGTGGACGCCAAGGAACAGAATGCGACAGAACACGGCGATCGATGAAGTCGCCTCGCCCTCACTGTCAGGTCGGCGGCCTGAACCGAAGATGGGCTGATACCGCTACCCATGGCGTCATTGATGAACAGGTGACTGGCATATCCCGAACCGGTAAAACCCGGGCCTCAACATGCTTTCTGCACTTACATAGGTTCTCGTGGCCCTCGATGAGCGATCCGCTGCGGATCCGGGTCTTCTGTGCGAAGTCTAGCGTTGCACACCGCTGAACACTATAACCGACCCTGGAGCGGATTCGGTTCGTCGACATGCGCTTCGTGCAAGCACATGCGCTTCGCGAACATGCGCTCCATCATCAATCTCGTCGACGGTCAAAGTGACGCGGACCATTTCAGAATGCCTTCGCCGCTTCATTTCTTTCGGAACGCCGCCAAAACTCCTCCACTGGCGTGCCCCGACATGTTGGCGCCCCTCTGCATCGGTCAAAATTGCACTCTGTTCTCCAATTGGCAATACACATCGAAGTTGAGATACAGTACGCGCTTCCTCCTGGGGTACAAGATGTGACTCAATCGATTCAGTCTGGTCACTGCAGCATTCTCTCAGCTTCCTCTGCACTCTTCCTCACTGGACTCGTTTCCGCCGCAGGCGATACAGCTTGAATCCAGTCTCGGCCAGCGACGCCTATTGGTCTGTTCGTGCCAAACTGCGTTCACTTGCATGCCTGATTGCCCTCCATCTATCTGCCGATCGTGTTTTTTTTTCGAAGATAGTAAACCTGGATATGAGGGAGTGTTGAAAGCTCTGGGACCTGTGTTCAGCAGTCTCCTTGCATCCCACGTTCCTCGATGCCGAGTCAAGAGGGCATCCATCAGACGTCAGCCTTGCTTTCGGGGCGGAAGCAGACAACAAAGCTAGAGACATTCCCGCGCGACGATGCGAGGGATCGCTTGCCAGGCATGCATTCATTCATTCTGGCAGTTGTGGACACGGCGGAATGCGAGGAAGCGGACGGGTGTGACTGATGATGTGAAAAACACACTTTTTTCCGCTCGGGCTACGGATTGTGCTCGAGGTACATGGTGACAAGATGTCTTTTTTGACGAAGACTCAGCAACATATGGCACCTTAAGCAACTGGCAAATCGCAACAGTCATAAGCAGTGAATAGGGTAAATGGCACAGCACAAACGAGTCCGATAGACAATTGGTTGGTTCATAGCGAAGCGCTACCTCGTCGCCTCCCCGCACCTCACGCCCGAAGGCCCTCCCCGCCCTCCTTCCCGTCTTCCCCCTTCTCTGCCTTCGAGTCCTGCGTCATCTGGATGTGCGGCTTCGTCTCCAAGTGAATCTCGGGCTCTGCGCCATGCACGACGACCGTCCCATCCGCGAGCGTCTCAGCGAAGATCGGGCTCGCGGCGGGGCGGAACTTGAAGTCCTTCGAGTACCTGCGTCGGCTTCAGCAGGGCGCACGCGGTACGCGGGGGTAGGGAGAGGAGAAGGAGGAGGAGGAGGAGGAGGAGGAGGAGGAACTAAGAAGAGAGTGCCCGAACGACGTACCGGTCCGCGTACTCGATATGCTTCCCGCCGTGCTCGTGCTCATGCTCATGCCCGGGCCGGTGCGGATGGCCAGGCCAGTGCGGGTGACCGGGCCCATGCTTATGCCCGTGCCCATGCGCGTTTCCGTGCCCGCGCCAGTGCCGGCCGTGGGGCGCCGGCCGCAGGCGGAACGTGAGCCAGAAGAGCGCGCACACGAGGACAAGCAGCGCCGCGCGCTTCCACGCCGAGGGCGTCTTCTGCACAAAGCGGGGGTCCACGTACGGCGTCCCGTCGCCGGCCTGCACGGGCGGCTGGAGCGCGAGCTCCGCGGCACTGAAGCGCGCCTCCGGGTCCGACTCGTCGGAGGCGGTGGTGGGGGTCGCGGGGAGGAGGGGCTCGGTTTCGGGTGCGTCCTGCGCGTCCTGTTCGTCGGGAGACGACTTCTCGAATGGGTAAGTCAGCATGGGATGGGTAGATGGGTGGGTGGGCTGGTGAAGAGAGGGTTCGAGGTCCGAAGCTCGGACGCTCTCTGGTCGTCGAACGGGTGTGCAAGTGTGGAGATGGTGGGAATAGAGCTGCGGAGGTAGCGACCGGATCAGATTCTAATCCTGTCGGATCAACAAACCCGAAATTGCACAGGCTTCTTATACTGTGCAGGCTGCAGTATGTAAACCTTAGGAGAAGAGAGACGAGGATCTTGGGATCCGCCGTTGGCAAATTACTACCTGGCGGATATCCTGTCATTAATGAAAATCTGAGGTTGGATCACACGTTGGTTTCGGACCCGGGTTGCTTCTGGCCAATCTTGATAAGGCGCCCGCTTCTGCGCAGAAAGATAAGATGCGAATCGCTGCAGTGCTTCCCTAGTGCCAGAAACGTCTGATTCAGATGTTGCAAACGAGACAGATCCTGGATCGTTTCTGTGCAGAGTCGACGTTCCAGGGAAAAATCACACAAAGCGTCACCGATAATATTGGGGATCTAGGATGTTTCATTTCATCGGTGTTGGAATGCCTTTGAACGGGGTTTCGCCGTTGAATATTCGGCGGTTGGATGACGAGTTCTACAGGAATTCGTGATCCAGATGTGATCGCATAAAAAGGCTATTGTACAGTCCGAGGCGAGTATTCGGCGAATTGTAGACCTGATCTATCATCCTCTCGCCTTGAGTCCACGTCTTTCCCCAAACCTTCCGCTTCCCACTGATCCGAGTCGTGGGAATCAGAGAACGACAGCGTCGGGTTCATCAAACTCGGGTGCACCTCGATTGTCTCGACTTGTCTCTCCGCCTCGAGTATCGAGTCGCACGCGGTGATGACCAGCTCCTCGCTCGTGTCCGAGCCCGAGACCAGTCCGAGGCGGAGGAAGATCAGAACGTTCGTCAGGGCTACGACGACGACGGTGAGCGTCTCGCTGACGAAGGCGAGCGCCTGATTCGTGTAGTATGCCACTATGAAGATCATGATCCATATTCTGTGGAGGTTGATTTTATCTGGTAGTTGCGGTGGGTTTCGGTGGCTTACGTGTACAGTGCGGCGCTTTCGACGAGAACTTGGAGAATGTCCTGATAACAGGCACGTGAGAAGGGACTGGTTGGATGAGAATAGCAGGACTGCGCACCAGGAATGGATCTCCGCTATGTCTGGATGAGACTTTCCACACACGCCACGAGATGAAAGAAGAGCAGTATATGTTGAGTCTACGCGCATATATTCAAACAAAATTTGGTAAGACACAATTCGGAAAAACTCACGCCGCTGTTATCGAGAACTGGCCGGTCACCCAGCCTTGAACCAGCCCATATTCGACAGCATTGTTGAGGCCTTCTGGAGAGAGAAGATTCCGGAAGATGATGTATTCTACGGCCACGCCGCTCACTTCAACATGGCAACGTTAGCACAGTGTTGCCATTGGAAACTGCAAGCAAGCGCACCGAGTTGACCGAGCCATAACGAGACGCCAGGAATCACCACGCGTCGGTCATGGTCCCATATGACCCACAAGCGGTGGAGCTGATGAATGTAGATGGGCACGCATGAGAGCAAGTGAGAATGGCGGTACTGACGATAACGCCGTCCCCGATGATAACCGTCAGCGGCGCCAACAAGTTGCCGATCTCCTGCAGCACAGTGTGCTGTCGCGAAAAGATATGAACCGGGTCCATGTCGAGCTCGCGGTCCAATGCGCAGAACGCCTGAAAGATCGTGATGATCCAGTGCTGCGCGGCCCGTCAGCGGGACGGAAATCGAACCGGAGGGCGGGGAAGATCATACCGCAGTAGCAATGCAGATCAGCGCTGTCGTGGGGACGAGGACGGGTATGGGCACCCGCACGAAACAAAACCACGGCCGCCACCACCCCGCGGCGTCGCGTTCGCCCACCGTCCCCGTCCCCGTCCGCCGCTCTTCGGCCTCCCTGCGCGCGCGAATCTGCGCCCGCACCCGGATCGTCCAGAAGTAAAGCACGACGAGCATACCGTAGAGGAGGCTCTCCGCAATGACGACCGCGATGTCCGTCCTCGCCGCGGAGTTGATGCTCATTGCGAGCGTGGCGTTCGTCCAGAGAGCGTAGAGGGAGGTGGGGGTGGTGTGGGAGGGAGTCAAAGTGAGACAGTCTCACCACTAAGGCTTCGGACTGTTCTTCCACGAGATCGTCGCTGGCATGGTAAAAGGAATATCATAGGGGTCAGGAGTGAATGCAAGGGACATTTGAATTCAGATTAGGAGCCGCGTTGTACAGTGTACCGTCTCAGTCGGATCTGGACAAAGGGAGCTGCTCGGTGCTCAGGGAACGTGGTACATGCCATTCGAGAAGCTTCTGGCTGCCTACCTTCCCGCACGCAGCAGCCCAGCCCAGGAGGACACTCCTTCTCGCACCATGCCTGCTGTGACCACACCTGCAGTAACAGTCTCTGGCCTGGAAAGAGAAATTCACGGAGTGCAGCTGGAGAGGAGAGGATTGCAGGAGAATAGTTGTGCTCGAATGCCGACGCATGTGGCTCGGACTAAGCGGCCGCAAAGGTCAAGTGATCCGGCGGCCGGCCCATGATGTCAGTGGGTGGGCACTACGCCCAAACACCAGGATAGGCTCGCAATGAAGCCGTGGAACCCAAAAACTGCATCCCTTCAGCATGGAAGACTCGCTGAGACTGCCACCTATCAACGAAGCGATTAAGACCTGGAGGCTAAAGATATCGAAATGCGCAGATCAGCCCTTTGACAACGCTGATACAGTCCTGCGCTCTGCCAGTGCGAAATGGAACGAGCTACCCCATCTCTGACAGCCAGTCATATGCTCAATATTGAATAAATTGTCAAGAATCTGTAGAATACACGCTACTGGGTGCTCGCCTGGGCGCCGCACCACGCCGCACAAGTGGAGTCTCCGAGTTCTGGCTCTCACTCTCAGGACCCAGATTCTTCATACTCGTCGTCGGCGCAACCGACTCCCTCGCAAGAGCCACATCCGCATGCGCGTCAGGCACGTAAACGGTGCTCAACGCAGAGCTCTGCAACGACACGGCGTCCATCTCCGTCTCCGCAAAGCGCTTCCAGCCAGACTCCCGGCGTTCCTTCGCAACCATGTTCGGAGCGGGTGTGTATCTGTCCGGGTCGTCCTCGCCGGCATTCGAGCCGCCCGTGACAGCGAAGATCGCACCGAGCACACTCGCGCGGAGAGACTCGCCCCACCCCTCGGCATTCTCCGATTCAGACTCGCCGGCCACGCGGTCTTGCGCCCGAGCAGCGCGACGCCGCACTTCAAGCGGGTCCCAAGCCTTCCCCCGCGTTTCCTCTGCGCACTTCTCCTCCCACGGAACCTCCAACCCCCTGCCGTCCGGCAGCGACATGAACCGCGGACGCGCCTCCCGCTCCCTGGGCGTGCCGATGCTAAGCTCCGGCAGCGAGAAGCGTGCGGCGTATGGGTTCTGAGGCGGCGGCGGGAGTGGCGGATTGGCGACGCACAGCGTGCTCGTCGTCGGCAGCTGCGAGCAGATGCTTCCGTTGCGGCTGTGCATCGAGTACGCAGACGGCGTGGCCGGATTCGAATACAAGCGCTGGGCATGCCTGTGCTGGGGATACCCAGTCGCGATCGGGGCCGGCGGCAGCGGATAAGCCGTACTGTCGCCCAGCGGGTAATATGGCGAGGCGCCCTGGTTGACATCCGCGAACGGGTTGGGATACGGCGCGTGAGGGTAGTGCAGCGACGACATCCTCGAGTGCGGGTGTCCGCCGTAGAAATATCTCCCGTCATCCGCGTACGCAACAGGCGGGAGACCCGGTATATAGCCGCCACGGATACTGACGCTGCCGCCGCGCTCGGGTTCTCGCTTGGGCTCCCCAACGTCGCGGTCCCCGGCCATAGAGCAATCCTGGCTGATCCTGTCTTCGGCGATAGACGTTCGGCTGGGATCCCACTCGATGTTCTTCTGATTGCCTTTCGCTGAGCTCCGATTTCGGACACGGATGATACAGGCGACGATGGTTATGCCCAAGGCGATGATGATGACGGCTCCGAGGCCGATGGCAGCGTACAGTGGCACGCCATGCGTAAGCGTTTCTGGGCCGGGTGGATGTGCTAAAGCAGCAGAAGAGGAGGGCGATTCGACACCAGTGCTAGAGATAGAGGCAACCGAGGAAGAAGAAGAAGACGAAGGGGAGGGCGAAGACGAAGAAGCCGCCGCGGTAGCCGAAGCCGAAGATGTCGCAGAAGATGAAGAGGAAAGTGACGACGCGGATGAAGACGAGACAGAGACAGATGCTGAGCTTGAGACACTGGAGGAGGAGGATATCGGACTCGCTGAAGACACGCTCACCGCCGCAGTCGTCACAAACGCTGCGAGACTGCTCACAAGCGTCGAAGTCGTCGCAGAGCTCACTAACACAACGGACGACGGGCTCGCCGAGGTCGTCCAAGCGGTACTTGTCGACGGCATCTCCGTCCACCCACCCGGTCCCCAGGTGGACGTCACCGGCACCGCTGCTGCTGTGATTCCTCCTCCCTGGGTTACACCTCCACGGGCCGCCTCGCCAGCCGCGCCCAAAGGCCCTGCGTCGAAGACTTGCTGTCCCACATCGGCGTCGTTCGATGGCACAAGCGCCGCGGCTGCCTGACCGCCGAATGCGAACTGCTGGCGAGCGCGCAGAGGTCTGCGGGCACGCACGCGTCGGGCGAGTCGTTTGCGCATCGCAGTTGTAGTCGTGTTTGTATTCGCGCAGGCCGAATCAAATATCGAAATTGGAAATATGAGAACGGTGCGAATGAGGTATGGCGAAGGTTGTAGATAGAAGGCGGGATAGAGGTGGATAGATGTTCGGCGTATCCTGGATCGACCAGCGAGGGAGGTACGCGTCGAAAGTAGAAGTAAGAGGATACAGACGAGGCGTGTCTGGAGACAGGGGTCTGCGGCAAGAGGGTCTGCGGTAAAAGGCGATCGGGTTCAGGGCATTCCAATGACAGCCCAAGGAGGAACGCCGCTGGCCTACTCTGGGGGCATGGGTGTGGAGAGAGGAAAGCGACAGCGACAACGGAAGATAGCAGAGGGCTGAACTCAGAAGAAGTGCAAGGAGTAGGGAAGGGAGGTCTCAGATGGCAAGCCGCGTATATGCATGCGAGGCAGAATGGTTAAGAAGAACGGGTGATGGCTGGGCCAATCAAAAATGCATTGGACTATACCGGAGTCGAACCGATGACCTCCCGCAGGTAATATATGCGAAGCGGACGCGCTACCAACTGCGCTAACAGCCCCTATCATCGGAATTTCCCGTGTTGTATTCTGAAGTTGCTAACTGCCTGTCGGCATGGCATCTCATAACGGCCTGTTTCATTTAAGAGCAGTCCTGTCGTACCCACTGAAACTGACACTGTATATCGGGTGAAGTTTCTGATTCAGTGATGTACCAGTATGATGCTGTTCCCATCCTTCAGACTTAGTCCATTTTAGAAACTCATCTGTCCCTTGTGTTGGCCTAAGCAAGCGCTGATAGGTGTCCTTATATTACACAAAAAATCGCGGGATGGGCACTAACTGACGTGAATCCGGGGTCGCCAGGTTGACAGTCATACCCCCGCATATTCATTTGTATGAAGCTGGGCATGAGAAAACAGTTTTTTTTGTAGCATATTTGATATTTCAGCGCATCTAGCGACGAGATAGTAGTCAAACGCTCCATCTATTCATTTTCGTTGCCTCATCCTTAGTCACAGAACGCTCGATCCTGCCTTTGAGTTGGCAGCTAGCTGGATCGATTTTTGACCACATGGCGAGGAAGAAATTTTCGCTCATTTCGGAAGGCGGCCCGGCAGACCGCGAATAAGAGAAAAAGTACAGTACAATTGAGGATATATCGTAAACTACTACCGGACAGAGTACACTACCATTACAGCTTTCGTAGCGTTCGTAAAACAGTCGTACAACAATAACAAGTCATCGCAGTCATTCACCGACCAACATCCAAGATCCATCTCCGGCCATCCTTGGCCATAACCAGCCCCCTGAATTGGTTGGTGCCCATCAAAAAATCAATGCGCTTGACTCCGCCCGCCTTCTCTTCGGCGTACCCACGGTGACCTGCGAGACGCGAGTAGCGGCGAACGTACGCGTCGGACACGGCGCGCATCGACCGGTCGTTGTCGAGCAAGTTCCACTCGGCCGTAGTGATGTTCGCGCGGAGCGAGGTGTGCAAGCCGTTCAAGACGTCCATCACGGTCACGTATCGCCCGTTCGATGCTTTGAGCGTGAACACCCACGGCAGATGCGCGCAGGACACGGTGAGCTGGGCCTGGGACGGCTGTGTCGCCGGCTCCGACAGGGCCGCCGAGGAGAGGTTGATCAGATTCGTTCTGAGTGTGCTCGTTGGCAACGAGAGGTCGTAGCTGAGCACCGGAGTGTCAGAGTATTCCAGAAGGCGGTTCACCCGGGACACCGTGGGGACGGCGGAGAGAGTGTGCGAGCGACGCGGAACATGGCGGCGGGTCGCTGAGGACGACGAGGTTGAAGTGGATCCCGAAGGACTGTGGATGGCAGAAACCGGAAAATAGGAGTCGTCGAATGCGAAGCGGACGTGCTTTCCTGGCATGCACTAGGTGGTGTGTGTAGGGTGTGGTGGTTGAGCGCGGGGGCTGAACAGGTTCGGGGATAAAAGTGAGGAGCGAAACACGACGCCTCGCAGGGTTTTATATCTACTCCGACCGCGGACAGTTGAATTGAGCAGGTGGGGCGATGATTCGGAGTGGATTCCGCCCATTACTGATCTGCTGATACAGTGGCTGATCGCATTGCCTCCGGTTGTAAGCACGGCCCCCACCTGCCTAACAGGGTAATGATTGACGTAGACAGGGATTGGCTGAATCTGGCGAAGTCTGATTCCGAAGCATGGGATGGCGAGTTCTGTAGCACCGTGGAACCGGTGACGCTGGGGCATAGACACGGAAGACGTGTGTGGTGTCGTGCCAACGGAATATCAAATCCGAGGTGGAGTGCAATGCGGGAACTCCACGACTCACATTGCACAAGCTGTCTGGACAAGAATCTCCAAGCTAGGGACAGCAACGGAACTTGACCATCGGCGCACCGCCCACATCATTGCGATGCGCCATCAGCAGGTATTTGACATAGGCAGGCAGTGCATGTGCCCATCCGCATCAATGTTGCTAGCCTCATGGGAGCTGTTCTGAGCAAAGCCAGCGGCTCGCACGGAAATCGGCATTTGCGTTGAGTGGAATCCACAGACCAGAAGCTTAGCTTCCATTCTCCACGACAGATAAAGCCGGTCGCAGCGCAATGAGGCACAGAGAACGAGTCAATTTACATCCTAAAATTAGTCCTGTGGAGCTCGAGGACTGAACACGTCGCAGCTCACGCGCTCAATTCGGCCACTCGAGGCTTTTCTGCTGCGGAGTCTTGTGGCTTGACTCGGGACCGACGGGTGGATCTACAGGAGCCCGCAAATCTACATTACAACACAGGTTTGACGGTGCCACTGTAACCAGGATTGACACCTCCGATAAATTGGACTCTGCATCCCGCCAGTATCCCGAAAGACCTTGGCATCTGCATTACAAACACGTGATCGTGCTTCGGGATACGTCACCCTCGAGAGCACTGCCACTCCGTGAGATTTTCCCTGAATGGCTTGAGTCCGGCATGCAACATCTTTCACATAACGTGAATCTCAACTCTCACCGCGTACAACTCATAGCAACAGCAGTCGCCGCCTCCGCAACGACCGCTGCTTTGTTCACTGCATACACCACCTACACCCGACGGTCACGTAGACGGGAGCTCAATGCTGACATCCTGCGCTCGATCTCTGCTTCCGCATCCTCCTCCAAGGGCCGCAAACTTCCCACTCCTGATGACTCCAATTATGGCGACGGCAGCCACGACGACAAGTACGCATACACCGAAGGCTTGATGCAGGAACAGCTCGCTCGCAACTACGCGTTCTTCGGCGAGGAGGGTATGGCGGCGATCCGCGGCAAGACGGTGGTCGTCGTGGGGTGCGGAGGAGTTGGGAGCTGGGCGGCCGTGATGCTTGTGCGGTCGTGCGTATACGTTTGTCTCTTACGGCTTCCATTCCGCCCCTTGCATCTCTGCACTTTCTGACACGCGCTCTCCAGTGGAGTATCAAAGATACGGCTGGTCGACTTCGACCAGGTCACCCTGTCGTCATTGAATAGGCATGCTACCGCCGTGCTTGCGGATGTCGGCACCCCAAAAGTGAAGTGCATCGCGCGCACCTTGAGGCAGATTGCGCGCTGGGCGGACATAGACTGTCGCGTCGAGCTGTGGAAGAAGGGAGAAGACGGAGACAAGTTGCTGGAAGGAGCAGACTGGGTCATAGGTATGTCGTGGGACTGGATTCCTGGGCTGCTACCTTACTCGATATCAAGACGCCATCGACAACATCACGACCAAGGTGGATCTGCTGAAACACTGTCACGACAACGGTATCAAGATCTTCTCCTCTATGGGTGCCGGCGCAAAGTGCGATCCGACACGCGTGCACATCAGCGACATCTCATTTACAGTCTACGACCCCCTAGCCCGCGCCGTGCGTCAACGCCTGCGTCGGCTGGGCGTATCCAGCGGGATTCCCGTCGTCTATTCGTCCGAGGTGCCTGGGGACGTCAAGCTTCTACCGCTGCCAGACGACGAGTTCCAGAAAGGGTCAGTAAAGGAGCTGGGCGTGCTCGACGACTTTCGCGTACGCATCCTCCCTGTCATTGGTATGTGCTTCCCCATCTCCAAGATACATGAAACGCTCAACACCGGCAGGTCCGCTCCCATCGCTCTTCGGGCTGCACATCGCCAGCTATGTGCTATGCGAGATGGCGGGCAAGCCGATCCTCAACCCGCTCCCCATTCGCAACAGACGCAAGATCTACGAACGGCTGCTGAAGGATCTGCAGACGCGCGAGGCGGAAAAAGCGGGAGCGAACAACGGAAATGCCCCGTGCGTCAGCTGTCTGCTATGCCTCCGGCTGTTGCTTAACTCACATGCCTGCCAGACGGCTGCCACTGGACGAGGACGATGTCGCGCTCCTGTTTGAAGACATTCATCGCGGGCGGTCCGTCGTCCCGCCGCACCTCGTTCCGACCAAACCCATGCTCGTGCGGTGGGACCCGTCCCGGCCGATCTCCCTCGAAAACATCGTGGTCATGGACGCTCCGGAGGCCAAACGACACGAAGGAGAGAACAGCTGGGGTGTGGACGTGCATGATGTCGTTGCGAAACGGGTCCGGGAGATCGAGGCGTGGCGAAATTGGGTGATGTGAGTCAGGCCAACTGGGGGCTAGCGCACTGTGGGTGGCAGTTTCTGGCAGATGCGATCACTAGCAGCAGTTCAGAGGTACCTGAAGTGCCGAGGCGCTGGGGCATTAGACAGGCAACGCACTCGGAGTGAACGTAGTATCAAATACATGCTCCAAGAATCTGAAGCATGAGCAGATCCTATGCTCGGAGAGTGGTGATAAATAATAGTCTTGGAGTGGGAAGCCACGTTTGTGTGTCCCCTGGGTGACATGTCAAGCGTTCAAGGCCATCGGTGCCGGCATGATGAATGCGATGCTTGACCACTAGCACTTTTAACCTGTTGCTGGTCGGAACCGATTTTCAAACCTGCTCGTTTCCACAACAGACCTACGAGTCAGGCAGCACGCCCCTTACCAGGGAATCGTCTCATCCTATCATCCTCGCTAGGTCGGACCACAAGAAAAGCACTATTTCCCACGCAATGTGGAAGGAATCTGAAACAGACCTGCATCTCTATCATGACATGTCACCCTCAAGTCTTTTGTGATTGTGAGATCACAGTCTTCAGTGAAAGACGTCAAGTATTATGGACACGCCCCAGGCCTTGTTGCGTGCGGCTGACTTTCCCTCCGGTCACTTCGTGCGCTTGGGTTTCACACCCCCGCGAAACGGGCTGAGCAGCCGAGATTCACAGGAGATATCCAGGTAAGACCACCAAGTAAGTGCCTGCATCGGTACTCGCTAACGGCGTTTGATAATAAAGCACTGGGACTCGGACCGAGCCATGGCACCCTTCTCTCTCGCTCCCATTCTTTGCACCAGCCGAAGAACGTACTGTTTCCCGGCCCAACTCGCGCGTTCTCTGCCAGCATCGTCGGCGCCTCCGTCGACCGGCAGCCCTGCGCCTCCGCTCACCCTGAACGTCCCATCCCCCGCACCCGCCCCCGACGACACATCCGCCGACAGTACGAGCCGCCTAAACCGCCGTGCGGCGATCGCGTGTGGGATCACGATCCCGTTATTAGCACTCTGGCTCGTTGTCTGCACCGCGGCCCGCTGGAAGCTGAAACAGCGGCGGTCCCGCCGGGTCGTGCGTCCCTTCAGTCTTGGCAGCGGCGCATCTCCCTCGAAACTCGCGAACTCCTCTGGAGCCCCTGCGCCGCTATGGACGCCGTCAGATGTGCTGGTGATCTCCCCCGAGTCGACGCTCTCGTTAGGTGAGAAAGGTGGGGCCTCTCTCACTGCGGATCGCAGATCAGCAGATGCGCTGTCGCCCCGTGAAGAGGAGGAGAAGATGGATAGCGATGGGGACGGCCGCGCTCCAGAGCAGAGTCCGGAAGCTCCGTCTTACACCCCCCATCTCAGCCCATTACCGATATCAGAACCGAGGAGCCGGCAGTCCACACAGCGTGACGGGCCCACACGTGATCCAGGTCCTCGGAACCTTCCGGTACTGCAGATCCAGATCCCCGCCAAACCACCACCTGTGGCTCGTCGGCAAGTGACTAGAAACACCAGCCACAGCCGGCAACACCCCGACTCGGGGAAAGGCACGCCGCGGTTCACGCCACGCAAACCGCTTCCCAGCCCATCGTGGTCGTCCACCTCGTCGGTGGCGCATTCCGGGTATACGTTGGAGCGCACAGATTTCTATGACGTTGCTGCGACGAGGCAGATGATGTTCGGCGGTGGTGCAGAGCAGAAGCGCGACTCGTCCTCGAGGAAATCCCGATCGTCGGTTCGGTCGTCTCGGCGATCCAAGCCGCAGAACCTCTACGGTGGAGTTCCACACGGCGATGCTCGGCCGCGCCGCATATCGAGTGCCAGCACGGTGCGAACCGCCTCGACCAAGGCCTGGTCGTCGAGGGCGCCGACGTATGTCTCCCGCCACTCAAGTACGAGTTACAAAGATGTGGACTTGCGAAGAAGTGTTCTGAGGTCGCAGACCCCGTTGCCGATGTACCAGCCATCGCTCGTGTTCGTGGCAGGATCGGGGAAGGAGAAGCAGCTCGAATCTATCGATCAGTTGGTTCTGGGATCTGACATTGTGTTGCCCCACGCCATGAGGCGGCCATTGCCACAAGTCCCACCGGTGGAAGGGTAGTGTACTACTATATTATATAATCGCAGAGTAGATGATGCATCGAGATAGGCATGTGACAACTGTGCGCCGTATTATTTTGAGAGCAGGGCTAGGTAAAGATAAGTATACGAGGGGTTAGGAAAGTCTACGATTCCTCAACGACACCGCAATCGGCGATGACAACCTTCGCTTTGGGTGTTCCGGACATGGAGCCCATGGCCTCGACCGCCTCAACGACGTTCATTCCCTCAAGCACCTCACCAAATACCACGTGCTTGCCGTCCAGCTAAACGAATGTGTTGGAGAGATATCAATGACGTGGAGAGAAGCCGACACTTACATGAGGTGTGGGGACGGTGGTGATGAAGAATTGCGATCCGTTCGTGTGGGGCCCTCGGTTTGCCATGCTTAGAAGACCGGGACGGTTGTGCCTCGCCTCGAAGTTTTCATCTTGAATACGAAAAAAAATCATCAGAATTGCCACAGTGAAATAATAGGCTGCTCCACTCACCCTTGAAGTATTCCCCATAGATGCTCTTCCCTCCAGTCCCGTTGTGGTTCGTGAAATCTCCACCTTGGCACATGAACTGCGCGGACGGGTCAGCGAAGAACAACAGGTTCCACGGGTACGACATACCTGGGGAATGATTCGGTGCAACCCGCTGTTCTTGTACCCGAAGCCATTCTGACCTGTGCACAACTCGCGGAAGTTCTTGGCGGTCCGTGGTGTTTGCTTATCGAAGAGCTTGAACACAATACGCCCCGTTGGCTTGGCGTTAATGGTGATGTCGAACTAGGGGGGAGGCCACACGTCAGTCCCTGAGCGCCCAAGCTCAATCGAGTATGCCTTACAAAGACATTCTTCTGTCTGCGCATTTGGGGATGAGCTTCCAGCCCGGAGCAGCAAGAGGAAAGAGTGTGACTCACGCGGCAAGACCATTGGCGGCGGCAGGCGTGCTGCTGACGCGGGAGGAGGACGCGAAGGTGCGGACGGCGCGAGCTACAGCGGACATGTCGTTGTCGTGGGGAAAGCAAAAAAATGGTCTCGTCACGCTCACGTGTCTAAGCTTGACGATGGTGCACCGCCACCTGTCGGTCCTCTGCACCCGAGTTGGCCGAAGTTCGCAGCAACCAATCGTACTTAATTTTCAAGTGAAGACGGGATGGGCGTGTATCCCTTCTACCGACTTTCAAACGCTCTATCAACGATCTTCATTTCCTCCGTCCGCCGTTCCAGGCCGTTCCTGTCTATTCCCAGGAATCAACTCACATTTAGGTTCCGGGGCTCGCCGCGGCATTCCTACTCACGTGCTTATCGCGACCCATGTGCATGGGTGTCGCAGTCGGAAAACGCCGATGCACTTCTCTTCGTCCTTCCTCCTCGTCGCCCTGACCGGCGCGCGCGCAGCGTTCCTCGGCTCCCAGACTGCCTTCCCGCCTGCCGTTGAACAGTGCGTCTTTCCGTACAGCCTCTGTTGGATAACGACACGACCTTCGTTGCAGATACGATGAAGGCCTGTTCACCCCCATGAACAGCCTCAGCTCCCTCTCGTCCGACGGATTCACCACCCTGAGTTCGCACCCGGCGTTTCCCGCTGTCAGCGTGCGCATCAAGAAGAGCACGTTTTGCGACGGGTCTGCCGCGTGCGTGGGGTGCTTGGTTTGCCTGCCTCGACGTAAGCGCTAACGACCTGCACAGGGCGTACACGGGTTATATCGACGTCGAGGCCCGGCATCTTTTCTTTTACTTCTTCGAGAGTCGGAGCGATCCTGACACCGACGATGTGATATTTTGGACGAACGGCGGTCCGGGGTGTAGCTCGAGCCTCGGGCTGTTCATGGAACTCGGTGAGCTGACATATTATGGGCTGTTTTATTCATTTTTCCGAATCCCCATGCAGGACCATGTCGCATCTTGGACGAGAACGGACCCAAATACCACCCGGACAGCTGGAACACCAACGCGAACATCTTCTTCATCGACCAGCCTGTCGGCGTGGGCTACTCATACGCGGAATACGGCGAGTCTGTGGTGAGCGTTTTCCCACTCCACTGTGTTTTGATCTCTCACAGTCTCCCAGAGCACCACGGAGGAAGCCGCGAAGGACATCGCTGCCTTCGTGTTCGTCTTTTTCGAACATTTCAGCCAGTTCAAGGGCCGTGGCTTCCACATGGCCGGTGAATCGTACGCTGTGCGTTAAGATTTACGTCTCGCTGACGTGTTAATAATCTGCTGCGCTCAGGGCCGATATATCCCGGTGTTTGCTGCGGAGGTGTACGATCAGAACGCCAAGCTCATCGAGGCCGGACTCACGCCCATCAATTTGAAATCGGTCATGATCGGTTTGTTTATTCTGCGTTGGAAGAGGCACGACGACTGAGCTGCATAGGAAATGGTCTCACGGATATGTATCATCAGATAAGCTCGTCGTTTGAGATGCAGTGCACCTCTGCCTCGGTTCCTCCGGTCTCGTCAATTGGGTGAGTGACGCGCTTTGGTTAATGTAAACTTTCTGCTAAGATCATCTCCCGCAGTGATTGTGTGCGAATGAAGCAGATGGTGAGGGACCTGATCAACTTTATTTCTTATCTTACGCATATCCAGATCCCCCGTTGTGAGGAACGGCTGAGGAAGTCGTGTGTGGACCGGTTTGACGCGATCGACTGCGAATCTGCGGCGGAATTTTGCAACGACCACATCGGATCGTCATTCTGGAACTTGAGTGCGATTTATCCCGTCCGTAAAATGTTCTTAGTCTCATTTGGGGCAGATCTCAACCCATACGATATCTCCATGTCTTGCTCACCTGAAGAGATGTCCGAGAGCCTGTGCTACGCAGTCACCAAGTGAGTGAGCAGATTCCAGCCCATCAGCATCTGGACTAAGCTCGTTCCGAAGACATATCAGCAACTTCTTGTCCGCACCATCGACCCGCGACGCGCTGGGAGTCTCTCCGCTAGTTCCAATGAATTTTTCGTCCTGCTCTAACACTGTAAACATGGCATTCACCACGCAGCTCGACATGCTCCATCCGACGCAGCACTACATCGCGGGCCTGCTCGAGCGGGGCGTGCGCGTGCTGATCTACGTCGGGACGTACGACTGGATCTGCAACTGGGTCGGCAACGAGCGCTGGACGAACGCCATGGAGTGGAGTGGGCAGGACGAGTTCGCTGCACAGGCTCTGCGCCCGTGGGCGGTCAAAGGCACGAATGCGACGGCCGGGATGGTGCGCAATGCCAAGGGCCTGACGTTTTTGACCGTCGACGCTGCGGGACATATGGTAGCAGCCTTTTGTTTTTTCGTTGATTCGTTTTATTCACGAGTCACAGGTGCCGTATGACAAACCCAAGGAGTCATTGGACATGTTGCAGAGATGGCTGGCGGAGGAGAAATTCTAGAGTGCTTCTAGCTAGTAATCTTCCCTTTTCAACTTGCCCCAGGCATCAACAGTTTTTTTGTGACCTTATATTATCTCTCACTAGCAACGATGTTTTTTCTCTGCCCAATGCCATAAAGTATATTGGTTCTTCCCGACCGAGGCTTACCTCACCCCATTCCAGGAAACGATTCTTAGATCATTCAGATCGACCTGGATTCTTCAGGCACTGTTCCGAGGCTAAATTTCTTTCACCCGATCAAGGCAGACTCGATAGTTATGCTTGAGAGAAAGAATCACAGTCTCGTCAAATCTAGGCAGTCAACGTGAGCTTTGTCAGAGCATGATATTTTCTGCTCCGTGATATCATGGGTGGAAAATGCGCCCCTATCTACAGACTCACACCCTTCCGGCAATAATCGGCAGAGACAGTAGGTTGGCATGTGAAATTCTATTCCCTTCAAGCTTTCAAGTTCCTGGATCCGAGTCTCAGTTCTGCCCTTACACCGCGGCCACAGAAGCTAAATTTCAATGCTTCGCGTTCTAGACAATACTTGCCGGGATATTCTGGTGGGTCCTTGAAGCTGAAGCTAGTGAAACAGTGATGCGGGTGCCGTCAGAGTTTTGCTCAAACGGCCCAAATTCGGCAGAATTCTGTGCAAAAAGAATCGTATGGATTACATACCAATCAATCAGCGGTCCTTTCTCACTCTCCCCATTCTCATCCCTCTCTTGCCTGAGCATCACGCTCTCCCTCTCTATCTTGCTCTCTGCTTGAAACCGGTCGATCCTGCGCCTAACTTCTGGCTGTTCAGGCACGACCGCACCATTGCCGTTGATCCATTCATAACGACTGAGGTGTCTCGAACGTACCCGGCTTCTCGAGGACCCACTCCCCGACACAATGGACCGCCCATCGTGGAACGACACGCTCCGCGCTGCAGTCTCATCCTGCTGTGCATCCATCCCCTGCTTCCCGCGCCGGTCGAGCCCCGCTGACGACGCGGACGACCAGCAGCACTACGCCCCCCTCGGGCCTGACTGGAGCATCGCCGCGCGGCGTGCACGGGCCGACGAGCTCGAGGGGCTGCTACGCGACGAGGACAGGCATCACGGAGACGGGGCTGACATAGACGCTGCGGTGGATGCTGACGCTATCAGTCTGCACTCGCATCTGGGTCCGCGTGGCCGGGCACGTGTCCCGCCGCGGACGCCCCGGCACATCTCCCTTTGGGGCTGGAATCTATTTGGGGTGGGCAGGAAGCCCGCGAGCGGGGGCGTGCAGCTGCCGGCGGGCAGCGCGGATCCGCTGCACCGCGCAGAGGGCAGCGTGCGCCGGAGGGACTCGGAGGAGTCGACCGCGGCGCTGTTGTCGCGTGCGGCGATGGACCCGACTCCGGAGACGCTCACCGAGGATCAGGTCGAACGACGGGCGAGGAGGAAGGCGAGGAAGGAGATGAAGCGACTGGCTAGGGCCTTGAGGGAAAGCGGGGCTTCCTCTAACCAGCTTCTCTTCGACGCAGACGAATCCCCCGCCGCGTCGCCTGATCCACGCGATCTCTCTCATCAATTCATGCCAACGCCCCAGATGGTGCCGCATGTCGATGAAGATCCGGAAGGGGAGGCAGATCTGGATGGCGCAGTCTACGCTCGCGCGGCTCCCCGAGCGTCCCTGAATGGCTCGCAGTCCCGCTCCAGCGGCCGCAGCTCGACATCAGGCTCCGGCTCCATTCCCTACTCCCCGTCTCCGTTGTCGGGCTTCGCCAGACACTCACTACAGCCACCCCCGCCCAAGGCTCGCAAGACGAAGAGCAAGAAGTCCAAATCCAGTGCGACGTCATCCACGCTTGGCCCCGAGTCGCCCACTTTCGGCGCGTTCGTCGCTGCCCCATCCAAAACATTCGATGGAACGCCAGGCGACTTCGACGGAACCCCTGGTGGCTTGGACGACGGTTTCGATGGCACGCCTGGGAGCCTGGCTTCACCGGATGGTACGCCAGTGTTGCCATGGGAAGCCTTTCCTCGGGAGGCCATGCCAAGTCCGGGGCTGTCTAGGCCAGCTAACCGCGCCCGTAGTTCAAGCGGCGCCTTCCTTGCGAATATGAGCTGAAGGATTTGCTCTTAACGATGACTATGTTATCTCTGTTTCATGTCTCTCGGATACATACTTACATACAGTCCACCTCTTAACGATCAAGGGACATTGCTCATGACTAGATGCTTTGTAATGATGTGCCAGCGCGAGCGTGATTGTTCGGCGTCATCGAGTTGAATCTTGACCCTCATTGTAGCCGCAAGTAGCAGTCGTGGACCCGATCTCTCTCTTTACTTTTCGGTCTTTGTTCTCCGGAGTTCTGTCTATGTCCTGCATGTGATCTACAGTCGATTCTTCACTGAGGTCTGAAACTGCACTCGTCAGATTAATCGAAATCGGGCAGTGGTCCAGCTGACGACCCGTAGCTGCTGTTTAAAACGCAAGGTTCAATGAGATATGACTGTGCATCTCGTCTGGGGACTTCAATTCTAAGCTAAGCTATCGAAAGATTCCTGGGATAGCTGGTCAAAATGGCCAAACCTAGAAGATCGGGTGTTGAATGACTAAATATGACATCAGCCAGAACACGCCGGGCTCGTAGCCAAATGTAGCGACACGATGT